ATGCTGTAAGAATTTTGAAGAATGTGGATGCTCAGAGGCAATGTTCTGGTGCCACCCTTGTGGCTTTGCCTACTGCTTGGAATGCCGCACCTGCGGCTTGTCTTGCAAACATAATATTGTTAATTTTTCCTCAGAGTTGTCCTCCGACTTTATTCCAGACAGCATCGGCTCATCCAACTCACCTTTCGACATCGAAGAACTGGTTGATGCCGTACTGGCTGAGTCGTCGTATTTCGGCGCAACACGTCGAGAGCATGCTCAAAATCGCCAAGACAAATTCTCGGAACTGATCACGCATCTGCGTGAGGGCCGCTCAATTGGAAACACTTACCTTCAATCTTTTGCTCGTCATGGAATTGAAGATTTTGATTATACCGAATACATTTATGAAATGCCATTTGGATGTCGAATTCCGACTCTCCAGGAGCACTTTGTTGATGCCCAGGACCAGACGCCTCTTCCGATCTGGCGACCTGAGGCTTTCTTCAAGTACCCTGACGGCGGTGACCTTACGTCAGAGGAGATTCTCCGTTTATTGGAACTCTTCAGATCGTGCCTTCTTGGTAAGAGAGCAATCCTCGGTGTTACCAAGCGCACTAAGGACAACATCCATGAATTTCAGAAGGACACGTATCAGCTTGGCATTTTGACGTTGAACCTTGGTCACATCAACCGTATTCCGTATATCGGAGGTTGTTCAAAATTTCCAAAATGGGTACGAACTGATATCAACCACCGTGCATTGCCACATTTAGTGTTCCGTAATGCGGCCCATATTGTGTGCTTGTGCGAGGCGTCCGATGAGTACGGTGGCATTGCCGTCCATCGAGAACTAGCCGACGAGTACGGTATGATTGGCATGGTAGTGCATCCGCACATCCAGTCACAGTCCGTTGCAATTTTTATCCGTGGCTCACATGATGCCGGCTCCTTTATTGAACTTTTGTGTCATCACCAAATTGAAACCTCTACCAAAGATGCACCCTTTTGGATTTTGCATGGTGCCATTTTTCGCGTTTGCCATGGCATGAACACGTCAGGAGAATTTGTTGATCCTTCCACTGGCGCTCGTGTTCCGAAACCGGACATCGAGAAAAATGCCGAATCTACGGTGTACCAGCACGATCGCCCACTTGCATCCTCACTTGATTTTCTTGATCACTCGATCTGCGAGATCGACGGAGATGACGACCTTGCCGTCTCCGGCGTGGAAGCTCGTGAAGTGAATCTTGGAGCTGACACTCATGACGTCAGACGTCTCATGTTAGCTGAATGCCGCATTGCGGTTTTCCATATCTCCTCATATGCATGGAGTTCTGCCTATAAAGAAACATGCCAGAAATGGCTCCAATTTGTCGCAAGCTGTATCGAACATCAGTGTGACTTTTTGTCCGGTGACGGGAATCTTTTCGCACAGCGAAGCTTTAAGGCAGACGATCACTCCGACTACCGGACATGTATTTTAATCGACATTTTGGAGCGTTTCCTTCAGCAGATTAATCTTCACCGCAGCCCGATAAACCGTATTACGTATAACGTAGTTTCATCGACCACTGCAGCCAATTACATCCGCAGTATGCGTGGAGATGATGCTGATTGTGATTCAATGCTTTTAATTTCTCTTTGTTACGGTAAGCAGATCGCTGTCACGGAAGCACGTGCAAAAGAGGAATCCGCCTCTGCGGATGGATTCGCAGGATCTGCCTTCTCCGACGAAGTTATGTTGAATGATGTTGAACAGTTAAAACATTTGATGGCATACGACCTTGGTTTGGCAGAAAAGGACTGTGCATGGCACTCACCTCTCCTTGCCTACGCCCAGTTGAAGGCACTGAAAAATATGCGCATCCGATCCAAGGAATCTGAGGATAAAAGACGTGAAAAATGGATGCAGCGAACTCAAGGATATCTCGAAAAACGAGAAGAGAGGAGAGATAGTGTTCCGCCGCTGCGGACTGACTCTCACAGAAATGTTGGACGCACTCGAAGTCGATCGGTCAGCAGGACCAGAACATATCGACCCAGAGCTGAAACACCAGCACCGCCTCCGGCACCTGTGCGAGGTCCAGCAGCAAAGGCCAGACCAGTTGAACCTGTGAAATATAAAGCTGCACCGAGATCCTTGAAAGAACAACCAGCTCCGACGTCATCAGGATCTTCCTCTAGTGCTAGGCCGCCTGTAAAGGCTCCTCCAGTTCCGGCTCCCGGACGAACACTAGGTTCACAGCAGCCAAGAACGCCTCCTGATCCACCGGGACCGCCGAAGACTCCACCGCCGTGGAGAGAGAGATCACAGCAGGCTGAGCAGAGGCAAACGACCAGAAAAAGACCAATCAACGTACCTGAGCCTCCTGCGCCTCCATCCCGAATGTCGGGTACGCAATGGCTTGACCAAGGAAGAGCTTCCAGCTCCTCCGGACACCGTAATTACGGTTACAGCTATGATCAGCCGTCGCACTACAGAGTAAATCCCAACACCACTCAAGTAGAATACGTCCCAGGGTACCAGGTACCTAGACAGCGTTGGGTCCAGAAATATGACGGATCGTGGCTTGACATGATCCCGCAAACACCGGATCAGTCCATTTTCTTTCATCAGACCGGTGAGCTCAGAAGGAGGAACGAATTGAGTTTTTACGGTTACTATTTCACTATGGGCCTGTAGCCCCAGAAAAATTGCAATGTTCCGCATTTGCGGTCGCTTTCGCCCAGTAGAGAATACCGCTTTCCAACAGCGGAGAGTAGCTTTTGTACAGTTTTGTTTTTGTCTTCGGACCGTCTCACAGCAGATCACAGGCTGAGCGCTACCTGTGAAACAGACTTGCATGTTCCGACACGAAGAAAATTTGTGTCTGTTTGTGGTTTATTTTGTTTTACGTGTCTACACAATGCATTCATGCATGTTGACATGTACACTTAATTCATATCTTTCATGCGCACTCCGCATGGCTCAAGACTAGCAAAGCCGCGTAGAAAAGAGTTGCAGTCTCGCTGCTGACCGCAGGTGTTAGATCCGTAATTCAGGGCTCCCCTAATCCGGGGATAGCTACCTCACCCCCCCGTGGGGGCTCCCCAAGCTAGGGAATTTTCACTTTTCCCCCCCGTGGGGGCTCCCCAAGCTAGGGAATTTTCACTTTTCCCCCCCGTGGGGGCTTCCCAAGCTAGGGAATTTTCACTTTTCCCCCCCGTGGGGGCTCCCCAAGCTAGGGAATTTTCACTTTTCCCCCCCGTGGGGGCTTCCCAAGCTAGGGAATTTTCACTTTTCCCCGCCGTGACAGCTTCCCAAGCTATGGAATTTTCACTTTTCCCTCCCTTGGAGGCTCTCCAAGCTGCGGAATTTCAAATAGCTAGACAACGACGCCTAGATAGTCCCCCAAATCCCGTGTTCTTTGAATGTGTTTCCATGTTTTTGCAATGGTTTCCTTCAAAGCACGGTACTTTACACTTTTGTCGCCATAAAACCGGTCGAAAACATCATGTTCGACAATGCTTCCAATTCCCTTATCTCCCCAACCGTTGAAAATACCGCTATTTACAGTGTTTTCTTAATTGTTCCATGTTCCAATGCCGGTAGCCAACTCCAACATATATATAAGAAATCCTTCCAAAACATTGTTTTTGACAGTGTTTTTCCAATGTTTCCAGTCAAACAGACGGTAATTTACACGTGTTTTGCCATAAAGGCAGTAAATCCTTCCAAAACATTGCTTTTGACAGTGTTTTTGTAATGTTTCCAGTCAAGCATACGGTAATTTACACGTTTTTTGCTATAACGTCAGTCCAAAACACTTGTTTTTGCAGTGTTTTCAATGCTCTGGCATCCAAAAACCCTGCAAAATCTTGCTATGTACAATGTTTTTTTCATTTTTGGCCGTTTTTCCATTGCCGGAAAGCTACCAAAATGACCCAAAATTCCATTTCAATACCCTCTTGCGCTCAGACACCCAAAAATCCTCGAAAAATGTCGAAAACACCACCGTATTCTGGTCTCGGTGCGAAACCGTTTTTGGCCCCCCCCCCCAGCTAAAGCTGATATAGCGACTGCTATATTAACAAATGTCATTGAGCATTTAGTGTTGCTGTTTTGCCCCCCAATAAGCACGCCTTCACCGCCAAAGCGGTGTGGGCGGATTATTTGACCGATCATGGGAATCCCTATCAACAACGAGTATAAAGTTGTGAAAGAGGTTTTTGAACAAGATGAAAATCCGACTCAGAAACTACCGCTCAGCAACTACGGTTCAGGAACCAGAACATCTTTTCGCTTCAGTAGCTACACGTGAAACTAAAGAATTGTCACCGCTCTAAGTCTCTAAGTATGTTTCATATTGGCCCCCTTCACTGGGCTTGCTTTAGGGTTTACTTAGGGTTTGTTTATGGTCAATTTATGTTTGGTTCAGGCTTACTTTAGGGTTTATTTAGGGTTGGTTTAGGGTTAGATTAGGGTTTGTTTAGGCTTGGTTTAGCGTTTAGGGTTTCCGAAGCACAATTTGCTCTTCTTGGTTGTCGAAGCATAGTTTCCAAAGCATGGTTTTCGAAGCATGGTTTCAGAAGCATGGTTGCTGAAGCATAGTTTCCGAAGCATGGCTGCCGAAGCATAGTTTTCGAAGCAGAAGTCAACACTGATCAATGCAACATATTTTGAAGCATCATGATATTACTAAAGTTGAAGTTTCTCTTGGTCGAACGAACAGTACTGCGAATTGGAATTATCCACAGTGGAATGAATTCAGTAAGGAAGTTCCAAGAGGATTTAGTGTGATGCCACGACCGGGATGTTTTTGACTGGTTTGCCTCCAGAACCTGGTGAAACAGTCTAGTGAAACTCAGGCTGCTTGCAGAAGTGCAAGCAGCTTCTCCCGGGTGTGATTTCAGCAGGCATACAACATCCCTGCCCTATTTGATCATATTTTATCGCTAGTTATCCTAATCCTGTAATAGGACATCCATTTGACCCCTGGAGCAGTTCTCCGATGTGGACAGCATGGATCTGGACCTAGGACTTTCTTCAAAAACTTGTGGGTCCTGCCTTGGGTGGAGTGGCCAGCAGCTTGCTCAGAGTTACAAATGGAGAGTCACAACTAAGATGTGGCAAAAAAACGTGGCTAATCACCCACTATCCGTCACTATCCCATCTTGGCAGATGTGCCATCAACATCCACCAACAATCATCTACCTCGATTGATACTGTCGCCTTTGGTCGTTAAGGGCAACATATGAAACATAAAACATATAAAACGCAACTTGTGGCAATGTATGAGGTCCTCCAGTGCTATGGGTTGCAGCTTCTGGCATGAAGAACCTCACAGAGCCTGGACCAGACTTGCCCTTGTGGTCCGGAGACTTAGCACATACAGAGCTTCGTCGCAGTGATGTTGGAGTTTTCCATTATCATTGTGCATCCCCTCCGACAATGTTATCAATTGTATTCAATCGTGTTTGCAGTTTGAGTGTGAGAAAGCATTTCAAGTATAAATACAGTATTTCATAGTATTCCATAGTTGTAGTATGCCATAGTATTTCATAGTGTAGTCTTCCATAGGGTTCCATAGGATTTCCATCGTATTCCATAGATTTCCATAGTATTTCCATGGTTCCCTCCTTTGGACCACATGAACTTCATGGATTTCCGAAGATTTCCAGATTTTTTTTTGGCCTCTCAGGTGGGCCGGAGGAGCATGGCACCAGTTCAACGAGAGCAAGGCTCCGTTGACCTCCCGGGATGGGCTGAGGGATCTGATCTTGTCTGATCTGGTTGATGGATGGTACTTTAATATATATATTATATGTACATACCTATACTTACATATATATATATATAATATGTGTGTTTTAAGATGTTTGAATGTATAGTTTTATCGTTGGTTGATATGTGTTTGTCTATGTTTATCTATATGTTTATCTTATCTTGATGTTGATAGCTCTTCCATGCAAGTTGGTCCCAACTCTCAGATCGGGCGACCTTCGGAATTGGGTCACAATTCAAGGTCCCACCGCACAAAGATGGATCGTTTTTTTTACCAAAGCACCATGAAGCATCAAGTTTTCTAATGTTTTCTAATTATTATATATAATTATATATATGTATATAATTATAGAACTATATAATTATATAATTGCCGATGTTGACCGATTTTCGGATGCAGACATCATCTGCGGAAGAAGTTCTATATTTGAAAAGGCCTTTGGAGCTGCCTACATCCCGCGGAAGTTTGAGCCAGCCTGGCGCTGTGGCTCAGTGGGTCAGCCCAGTGAGAGGCCCGTCCTGGGCCCATCTGGGCCCCAAAATGGTTGGTTTGTAATGGAAAATCCCATGGAAATGGATGATCCAATGGTAAAATCCAATGGACAATCCAATGGAAATGGAAAATCCTATGGAAAATCCCATGGAAATCCCATGGAAATGGATGATGACTGGGGGGTACCTCTAGAAATATAGGAAACCACAAAATTTGGTGATTTGATGTGATTTGATTTGAAATCCAATATACACCAAGATTTATGACTACTGATTTGAAATCCCTTTCTGTAATTTTCGTTATCACAAGATGTCGCCAGGAAGAAATCGGCACCAATGTTTGCACTGCCGGTTGATTCGTTTGCTGATTGAGGTCTTGTCTCACCTCGCACCAAGCAGTATCGAGGCGACGAACTTGAAACGATGATTTTGGTTGACTTGAGTCATTTTGTGCGCACTTGCGTGAACAGTTTTGAGATTCTTTCTCAGCCGCTTGCAGGGTTGGTGCACAACAGTGGGTTCTGCTGATTCTACTCTCATTCCTAGTGCTGTTCATCAACCCATTTAAGATGTTGAACATATCAAACCAGAGTAGAAAACCAAAGTTTCTGTTGAACCGCAAGTAAAACTTATGAACACAGGTGAATGGACCCATGTTTGTTCGTTATGCTGCTATGCTCGATTGCTGTTGCTGGACACAGGCTGGTCCTGGAGAAGTTGTCGCGCCGCCGGGCGGCTCCGATGTGATGCAGGTCATGCGAGTGTTGCTGTGTCCGGGATTCTCAGCTGCGCTGCCATGGCAGCCTTTGGTGAGGGGTAGATGGGTCAACAAGCCGAGCGATGTGGGGGGTGAAATTTAGGGATGACAAAGCAGCATAAGGACGCAAAAGGCATCATCAAGAAAGGCGGAAAGTTGATGATCATCAGGGTGGGTGATGGTATGATTAGGTTCGAACTGAGTCTGGACAATTGATTGAATCTTGACTTCGCTTGGTTTCAGCCCTGGTAGCACCAGCTACTGCTCGCAGGTGTTAATCACCTCACCAGCTGATCGTTAAAATAAGTTGAAATGTCATTATTTGCCATTGCCACTTGGGGCATCTTGGGGCAAGGTCAGCAGGGTGACAAGCTCTGGAGCAAGCCACTGACAGGAGGAGAGTGGCGTCCGCAACTCAGAGGGCAAATTCGCTGCCAGACCTTGGAGGTTCAAAATCTTGGCGTCCCATGGTATCTGATGGTATCTGATGGTATCTGGTTGGTTGAAGATCTTTTGATTTCTTATTCATCCCCAATCTCTGCCTGAAATGCCGAATTGGTTCATTTTTTTAATTAGTCGATGGCTCTGAGTGGCTTAAAACTGCCAACCAACCGTAACCCGCCTGCATTCAGTCCAGTTTTTCGCTGACCCTGGCAACATCCAGCAGGTGAATGTCCGTACCGTTTGCACCTTGATGTAAGACGCGTCAAGGTTGGCCGGACTCGGGCAGCACCCTTGGGCACACAAAATGAGTACACAGTTTGGGGATTCCTGGTGATCTCCTTGCGAGGAAGTTTATGGTTGTTGCATCTGTGATGTTTGCCTTCAACAACTTTCATTTCTTATTTTTGTATATTTTTGTTTGTTTAGATGTCATGTTTCATCCGTGAAGTCACCATTGTATTGCATGGAGTTGCATGGTGAGAGCACCCAATTATGCATGGTGAGCACGTTAGCCATGTTCATCTTTGGCCTCAAACCATCAGGCCCTAGAGCTTCTGGGAGGACGAAGGTGGGGCTGCAGCTGGACCACTGTGAAACTGTTAAAAATTGTGACATGTCCGGTTTTGGGGGATACAACATGATATATATATATATATTAATATATATATATATATTAATATATATATATATATTAATATATATATATATATATTAATATATATATATATATATATTACATTACATGTGTATATATACAATATAAGATATTCTATTGGTCCATGTTGTGGATATTAGAGGTCCCAAAGATATGGTGCCTAAGCATGCCTTAGCAAAGGGTTCTAACGAACCGGTGCATGGTCTCAAGGTTTCAACCTGACGTTGGGACTGGTTCAGAAAAGTCCTTTAAGCCAGTGGGAATGATTTGTTTGGTTTCCCATTTGATATATATACAAAGTTTGCCCAAATAGGCGTTGAAGAATCTGATGTCGCAACATCTCACATATCCACTATATTCCAAGCAATGTTTTCCGTGTTTCGTCACTTTCTTCGCCAACCACCAGGTATTTGTTCCTGTTTCAAGAAGCGCAAGGCCACCTGTGTTATTTCATGGTATTTCATGGTATCAAGTATCAAGGTATTTCAGCCTTTGTGTGTTCACATCAATTCGTCAGGCATCCCCTCTGGACTGGACACTGTGTTGATGTATGACCTTTGTCGGAATGAATGGCGACCTCCCACCGCTGCGCGGGCGACTGCTGCGGGTCATCAAGAAGAGGTGCTCCGTGCCGCAGTGATACCAGTCACAGTTGGGATGCCTGGACCATCATGCAATCTTTGTAAATCTTTGTATATCTTTGTTATTCATGAATGAAACCATGCAGAATCTGCAGTCGCTGTGCCCACGAAGTGATGTTGAACCTTCACAGTAGATCCCTTCAAGATCATTTCAAGTTTCAACTCTGGTGGCATATCTGATGCTGGCGCAGGTCAATTGGCAAACAATGAACGGGCCCAGATCGACAGCACCATTGAAGGCCCGGCCAAGATTTTCGCGGCAAATGGAAACCACTGCGGTGCGGTGCAGCAATCTCACCACAGATTGAGCCAAGATAGTCTAAGGATGTCTGAGGCATTTCAACAGCACAGCATGTCGGTTGGTTTGCTCCACGGACCTGATGTTGGATTCGCAAGACATTTTGAAGCCATTTTGGGTTCGGAGATGTTCGGATTCTTTCCCCAAAATACCTCAGGTATCCTCAGGTAACCCTGGGTGATCTGGCTGAGGCTTGGGTGTTGGAAGCCAGCATGGACTACGTGGTCAGTGGCCTCAGGAGCAAGCGCTTGGATGTTGGCCGACCGTAATGACCACTGGCCATCACCAATGAGGTGCTAATGGCTCCAGTGCGACGCCTCAGTGATAGCTATATGTATAGCTATATCAACCAATCATAACCAATCTGTCCTACCGACACAACATGACACAACCACTTTAGTTTGCAGTTGTTAAGTGAATTAAGTGAGGTCCAGAAACTGCGGAAAAAGAATTGAAAAGAAAATCGCTATCAATTTGAGATGGCGCGGCTTTTCAGTGCGATCCTGCCAATCTTTGTCCATGTTTGGGGGTCCCAATAGTGCCATCTGAGGTGTGCAGAGATGGCTTTCAACGAGTTCCAGAGAAGGAGACTTTGCAAACGTTGCGGAAACTAAGACATGGTGTCTCCGGATTAAGGGATTTCATAGGGATTTCTATAGTTCAGCTTTGGGTCACCAATTTCGCTGAAAATTATCGGCTGGTTGCTGGTTTCAAATCTATGTCTATGTTCCATCAGGATATCCATCCCACACCGCTTCACCGGAGAGACATCGTCCCATGTTTTCCCCCGGAGCCTTGGAAACTTTCCAGGACAACTACACAGCCCTGTACTTCATTGGCTGTCGGGGAGAGGAGGTCATTCACCACCTACCATGCTTGGTCCACAAGTTGACCGTGCAGAGGCTGACACTGGGGATGGCATGGTTGCGCAGTTGGGAGGGACTAGAATATCTAGAATGAGGTGCCCAAATGCTGCAAATGGCTGGGAAACGGATAGTAGATGTATATAGACTCATGGCCCATGGCAAAACCAATTAGTCAAAAAGATCTATATAGGCATCAGATTGGCTGGCTTTTGGAATCAAAAAAATGAAGAAACTCTGCAGATTCCTGGGCTTTTTTTTCTGTTCCATCCCATCCTTGGTTATTTCGGTGTGCAGTGACGGCAGGTATGACCGATACATGCTGCTGGTGAAGGCAGGGATGGAAGTTTGGAGAGGCAGCTTTGGAGGTTGGTGCTCGTTTCCAAATCTTGGGCAAATGATGTTTCGGCATGTAAATGATGTTTCGGAATGTTTCGGACAATATGGTCAAAACTTATGTTCTTGATGATTTATAATACATTTTTATACATTGATACTTACTACACATATTAGACATATGAACATTCTATATCATACCAGGGACATACATGGACATACTATATCATATTATGATATAATATGATATAATATGATATGTACTATTTTATAATATGTTCTGGCTGATATTTTTTCCGGTTGCAGAGGGTGAAGATCCTGCAACGCTCTAGCTTGCAGCATTAATCCTCCAGGATTCGGGTGATGAACTTTTGGACTTCCCGGAATATCCAGCAGACTATGTGGACACCTGCGGATGGCCCGGAGCCCGCAGACTATGGCTCTGGTTTTGTGCTGACATTGATTGCCAATTGTTTTCATGAATGTTAATGATTTCAATGGGAGAATGATGATCAACCATCAAATTCGGGATACCCTATTTTTAGGCAAAACCATATGGTAGATGACAGCTTTATGCAGTATAAAGATGTATACCAGCAGTGTGCAGGGCTTATAGTGATCGGTGGCTGAAGGCTTCTGGATGCAGAAGACTGGGCGGCTGGGCCTTTGCCCGCCCGCAGCCTCAGTGGATTTGTTGATGAGCACGGAGATCGTCGAACTGAATAGGATATCTTGGATATTAGACATTAGTTTGGTCTGATGTAGATGTAGTTCATGGATTTTTCGCCCCAATGTCTCCACAAATTGCGCAGGAATTCATCTAGAGTCTAGCTAGTGTTTCCCCGAGCCTAGCAAAATTGTTCGTTCTTTGTGGGGTCGTGGCATCGGCAACTTTTTAAGCAACTTTGGTCTTACCACCCAGGTGCTCCTGCCTTCAGACAATGCTGCCTGGGGCTATGGCACATGGCAGGAAAGCTCAGAGCTTGGGAGTTGGTTTGGGATCACTGCAGAGCTGTGCTCTGCAACCACCTATTTATTCCCTGGGAGGTGTATTGTATGGGAGATCAATCCACCTAGAGATCATCATTGGTGCTATATCACTCCATCCCTACGCAGGCTCCATGGGCTAGGCAGCCCGGATTGCCATCATGCTGAAGCAAATTATACACGTCACTTCAGTCTTGCGAGGCGACGTCGCTAGCTAGCTGAGTATATGTGAAGCAGATAGTGACACATAGTAGTAGCCCATACAGATGTGATTAGCCCACAAGTGAAAACAAGCCGGAGTTTTTTGCTTTTAGTTGCTCCAACCACGCGAAAAAATATGATGACATATGTTAAAAAGTTTAACGGCACACAGCTTCCAGCTTTAGTAGTGTGACTGGATCTGGAGAAGGCGATGGGCATTGCCATGGGTTAGCTTTCAATCTAAGATGCCTAAGGTCAATGGTCATAGCTCGAGGAGCTTTGGAGGCCGGGTGACGTTGCAAACACGACGGTTCTGTTGATCGGTGACTGGATGTCTTGATGTTCGGCCGGGTGGACGGTGATGGTGGGTGGCTTTCCTTTTTCAGCATGTCTTCCTTTCCTCTATTTTGGGGTTGCATTAAGACAGTTTCCCCAAATAATTTCAGCACGTTTCAACTGGGTTAGAATCCTGGGTCTCTTGCCCTGGGATCGTGAGATTGCAGATGCGCAGCGCCAGGACAAACCAGACCTGCGATTGGACATGGCACCACGGATATATTTGCTGGAGGCATTTCAGCCTTGCTTTCTGTTGGTTGAGAGTCACTAGTTGGGGATGAGGTCCATCCCTTTGAGATTGGATGTGCTGAATGAGTTGGGTCATTCTTTCCAGCTACTCTCAGACCTGTGCTTCAGGTTCCGAAGAGTTCTGTTTACACGTGCTATGATTCTATGATTCCAGTTTGTTATTGATTGTTATTTCATCAGCCCAAAATAGATCGTTCTTTTGAAATCTTTTGAAGGTGAATGTACAAATCAGTACAGACTTCACAACATTTGCTGCAGTGGAACTGGACACTGGATGACTGCCAAGATGGGAGTAATCAGGGTGGCCATGGGTGTTTCAGGATGATGCCGACTTGAGAATTTGGACCACACGCCGGTCTCCCAGAACTGGACCCTGGCCGTTCCAGAGGGATGGACATTTCCACCCTGCCCGAGGCAGAATCGACGACCTGAACGCTGGTCTTCAGCCACCGACTTTCGAAAGTGCGCCAGAGTTGGCAAGGAACATCCGAAGCATCCCCATGACGTAAACTTAGGAAGGTGACGATCAAAGGCCATGGTTTTTGGGGAATATTCGCTTAGGTTTGAATGTTGATGCTTCCTATGGGATGGTGTTCACTGTGTTCACCATTCCAGGTCGATCTCAGTTTCACCATTTGATTCATTTTCCCATGGAGCCCGACGAGGCCCAGGGCAACGTTGTCAGACATTGACGACGTTGATGACGTTGACTGGGAAAATACTAGGGAAAATCATCTACAAATGGGTTGGCTAGTGATGGATTTTCCAGCTAATAATTTGTATCAGAACCATATATATAATGTCATGTTTAGTAATAATTCAATATGGATTTGGTTTGCTTTGAGATGGTGTGTTTTTGGAAGGTTCTAATGTTCAGTAATATTTGCTGCTTGGGTGGTTCGGGGCCAGTGCCGGACAGTCAACACTTGGTTTTGAGAGTCATAGCACCCCGCTGGACATGGGAGGAATGTGTTTGGATATTAGGAGTATGATTATGGGTCAAAATGTTGACACCTCTAATGTTACTTGCCACGTACTTTAGAAAAAGGATCGGCCAGCACATGGTTTGGAATTCTGGGTTCGTGATGTTCGGCAAATTTCTACGCATGCCCTTTCCACTGTTAGGATCTGTTAGGCAGTTTACTTTGTGAAGAAGACACGTCATCATCGTATATCACTGTTTATCACATAGTGTAATCACATTGTATCTAAATCATTCTAAATCATTCTAAATCTATGTCTTACATAATTATAGTTATAATTTACAATGTTATTCTAAGTTGCGCTTCTGAATCGAACTCTTTCTTGTGTGCATGGAAAATACAATCGCCCCCAGCCACCAAGAAACTGTATGGATGCATCCAACCTTCTGGAATGCCAAGTTGACCCAATACTTCTACGATTTTCTCTTTTCGATTCCTTACTGCACCTCATTGGCATAGATATTTCCAGCTTTGGAGCTACCCTTCATTCTTGGAGCTACCCGTCCCCAAAGAAACGCCAGCCTTCGCTGCACAGGTGGGTCCTCGTTGTCTTGGTGGAAACTGGTCCCTGTGGGCGTCCCATTCTTAGGTCATATATATATATATATATCCTTGTTTTTTTTTGTGAAGTCATCCCAATCATATCAACGACATGTTGGTCAAAACACGTTTTTGTTGTTGCGATTGAGATCATCAGTTTTCTTGGTTCATTGCAAACATTTAGAGATATTGAAAAAAGTTCCCAGGCCAGATTTGCAGTTCGCTGCACGCATCAACCGCGGAAAGATTTGGTGCTCTCATTCTCTGCAGTGGAGCAATCGTCCAAAAAATGGGAGAACATGGGAGAACCTGCAGGGTGTGTCCCGACTATTGGGGACCTCACACTACGATTATATATGTACACGATATGTACGAGTGACATATTGTCCACCACAAGGTCAGATGGTCACTGGAGGGCACAGTAGTTGACAACTTGGGCCAGCTTGGGCGATTAAAAAGTTTGGCGCAGGTACTGGAGATGCGATGTGGTGTATGAAGATTCCCTGACCTTGCTGAAAGTGGCTTGTTGGGGCCTCACATAGCCCAAACATCCTTGGGTGTATCCCATTACCTCCTTCTGTCAATTGTTTATTGAATGACAGTACAGCAACACTGTCAAATCAGCTGAGGATCAGAGATTGCAAAGACCTTGCCTAGGTGGTGGGTTGTTCTCTTGGTAAAAATCAAGGAATGCAAAGCCTTGCAGCCTTGCAGAAACATTGTAGAAGTTCATAAACACTATTTGGGCTGTGCATGACCTTGAAGGACTCTGGATTGTTTTGAAGGAATCAGGATTTGCATTCATCAGTTCTATTATATATAGTACAGTATAGTCTATATCTAAAAGATTTGAGGGTCCGATCAATTTGTTCAAAAGCGCCAATGGCCCTTCACGGTAGGCTGTTGCCGTGAAGAAAAGCTTCACTAGCAGAGGCCACAGCCCTTGGTGCCAGACCAGGGCTACATCTACAACCATACAAAAATGAGGGCTGTAATTGGCTGTAATGACTTTATTGCCTTCGGTTTTCTAGCCTTTTGAACAGTCTATAAAGATCTATAAAGTGTGTGTGTGTGTGTGCGTGTGTCCCTCTCTGAAAATATCTCCAAGATCTTGTGCCTTGAACCAAATCTTTGCATGGGATCTACAGTCGTGTGTACTACTAGAACTGACATTTTTTTTTTGTGTCTATTGCCAGCTTCCCACATCTATTTCCCTCCAAAGCGGCTTACATGTCGGGGGACAAATTGGTACTGTATGTATGGATCACAACCCATGGCAATTCAGTGCTCACTTGCTGGTACAGGACTGACAAGCTGCCAGTCATTCTGCAGGCATGGAAAGGCCATTGGAAAAAGGCAGCAGATGCTGAAATTTCAGCCACAGCAGAAGCTCTGCCTGTAGTTTCCTCAAAACAAATCAAAACAAGGTATTGAACGATGAGGCTAAGCCGAAGCCTTTGGCTCAAGAGCTGATAGGACAATGTGGCTCCTTTGAATCGGACCGGGATGGTTTTCATTCGAACGCCACAAAAACTTACCAGGTCTTTCCAAACCTACCAGCAGGTGCTTCAATTTGCAACCTAGACATAGGTGAAATCTGCTGATATTGGTGGATTTGTTGGTGGTTTTGAACATGTTGTGTATTGGTTTCTCCAACCTTGGATAATCCAACTTGACTTTCATACTTTGGGATCCGCAGCGAATAGGGAGATATGCCACGACTCCCATGGCTTCATATCCTGCGAGCCAGCAGCTCAGGTCACAGGAAATTCATGGGAAGTTGGATGGGATACACATTTTCCATCATTTTCCCCATGTTTATTTGAGGAAACACATGGAAATGCAGTACCAACTTGGACGGCATTTGTAAAGCCACACATGCATTGTAGGGGAAGTTGGTGTCCCTGTAATGAGAGATCCACTTGCCAATCCCAATATTCCCAGAATGTGGACTCCCAAAACCGTCGTTCGTTGAATGAGCAGATGCTAGGCACATGTCCGCGCATGCGGTGCATCGCCCCGGATAGGCTGGGTGTGCCAGGGGGATTGGATGAGAATCTTTGCAGCTTTGTTTTCGTGCCTCATCATGCCTCATCACCATCACCCATCGCCAAGGGTGCCAGCTTGGGAGATTCGCACCAGTCCTTGGCTTAGCCGGCCTACCGCTACCTGTAGCCACAAGCACTACGAAACTGGCAGGAAAAGTTCCTTAAGATGGGACAATGACAGGAGGAGTTGTTATGGATCGGACAACTCGGTATGTCGGTATGTCCATGCAGGTCCCCGCGGATTGCGGACCCTTCAAATCATGTCATCGTTTGCGCTGAAAAAACACAGGGAAACTTCATCTTATGGATTTGGGATGATTTGGGGGTGATTTGAAGTCCAGATTTTTGATGATTGTTGATGATTTCCTGCAAATACATGCAAATACTAGCAGCTTGTGTTTTGCATCATGTTTGCCCCACTGTCTCGACCAGGTCGCGGCAGCTGCGGCCACCGGTGCCTTGCTGTGGCCGGGCTCCGTGGCACGTCAGGCAGGTCAACCAGTGCGGGTCCGATGGGATACCATTGGTATCCAGTGGTACAGCAGTGGATTCTGGTTAACTTGTTGAACTTCTTCTTGGAGGGTCTGTTTTTTCTCCCCTTGGTTTTCCCATAAAGCTGGTTACATGACTTGAGTCATATCCCAAAGTGTCGCAGGAGTCCCCGGCGCCGGCCAAGACGCCGGCCAACCCAACGCCGCCACAGCCGGCGGCGCTGCCGGCAGCGGTGCCCGCCGCACCAGCAGCGGAGCCGGGCAAGGCGCCAGCAACGCCACCAGCTGATCCTAAAAAGGCGGTGCAGAGGACCGTGAACATCGATCAGGAGCCAGCAGATGGGTCTGAAAATGGGGCACGGTCCCCCCAGTTACTGTATGATATTGAATGGCCATGTGTGGCTGTTTTAAATGGGAAGATGATGCTCAAGCAGTAGATTTTAGGGGTAAGATATGTCAATATATTTCAGACAAACCCAGATGTCAGCATGTATTTGTCAGTAGATGTACCCTCTGGTAATCATCAGACATTTGATTCCCCATGGTGGCTGGAAGATCTGGAACAGTTTACCCTGAGAACTAGATGGAACTAGGTCCTTTGGATGACAGCAACAACAACCCATAGCATGAAGCTGCCTAGAGATACAGTGCCTTTACCTGAAGTACCTAAAAGATCCTAAAAGAGGCGAATGTAAGTAGGTCAAAAACAACCCACAGATGTGGATCAATTATGATCAATTCATAATCCATCATCATATCCATATGCCCAGTCAGTTGACCAATTGAACCTATAGCGCCAGGAGATGCTGAAATCGAGGCGCCTCTTCTTGACAGGTGAGGTCAATGATGACATGGCCAAGGCTGGAGAATTCAGTGGTTCAACTGTAGCGGTGGAGCAAATTGGGGTCATTGAAGAGAGTTGAAGGAAACTTGTCAGGTTTCCCGACCCTTCCACAACCCGAATAAATGACGAATGCCCGGCTTGACTTGAAGTGTTTTGATGCCAGAGTGGAGATCACTTCCTATATTGCTTGGATGGCTGTTGCCTACCTTTCCCATGGCTGTTTTTGTTGGGTTCATTCAAACCCAACTTTTTGGGAGGTGAAATACCTCTAGAGTCTCTAGATCAATGCCAAAAGCTGCATTGACGTCCCTATCACCATTTCACTGGAGTATGTTGAACTTTGTCTCCAAACGACCAGATCTTTGTGCAGCAGCTTCTGTTCCTCGAGGTGCGGCTATGGTTCCAAAATGCTTTGCCCAGTGGCTGTTGTCCAAAGAAAATTCGGACCCTGATGCAGGAGACGATCACTAGGGGGGATCCCCCGCAATTCGCAACCACCAGGCAATCATTTGACGGACGGTCACCATCGAGGATAGTAGGACATAATAGGGGATAGCAGGCTGATTTGGCCATCGGAGAGTTTTGCCCGGCGGAAATCGCAGTGCTGACATCCAACAATGGGCACGTTCACAGGGTGAAGCATCATCCTTTTTTGGTTTCAGTATGTTTCAGCGGTTTTCAGTGGACAAGATTGGTTTTGAGTGAGATTGCTATTTTGACATGTAACTCAAATTTGAACCAGTAGTTTTCTTCGCTCAGTGAACTCTGGGTGGCTTGCCAAATCATGGGCTCTGTGGGTTTCTCCTTTGCCGCTGCCATTTCTACGACCGATTCCTTCAGACATTCTTCAGGAAGACAAGAGCTTCTTGGAATTCCAAGCCGCATGCCAAATTCTCTTGAACACTTCAAACCTCAATCTGATGAGACCCTGAAACGATTCAAAGCATTGCTTGCAATTGTGCTGTGCATCCTCCCATATCATCCACATAGTCCATGTCGTTCAAAAGGGAAGCGGGAAGCATACTAGATTCCCTTCGCCATGTTGATCACTTCACCTATACAATTAACATCAATTGACCACAAGTGAAACCCTCAACTCTCACACTGGCAACACCAGTAAACCAGCCACTAGAACTGGACCCCGGTCACATGAGACCATCCTACATAGCAGTGACCAGCAAACTGTGGTAGATCGTGGTACACGAGTTGATGGGACTGCATCATGTGCCCATAATGTGCCTTGCTGTCAATGGGCAATGCAAAGCTTTGCCCACGCCGTTCGCGGCAAGCGGTTTGCTCTGCCAAGGATATCCCCGCAAAGCCGCAGCCCACTGGGAGGGATGCTGTGTGCACCGTTTCGCCCAGAAATCGGCAGCATGTTTGGGATGTACCAGGTAGGGGGAAGTCCTGGGCCAGAAATTCAGCTGTGTGTAAACATTGCTGAGACCAAAATTTCAGAAATCGTAGCAGGGACTAGCACATCACGTAAAACACCTGGTCGCATGTTGCAATCCCTGGCAGGCGTGAATCTTCACTGCGCTTTATGTGATGAGATACTCTTCACCACTCCGCTGGAACTGGCTGCGGCTTTGCTTGATTTCTTACTCGAAACCATGGCCGACTCCCACTGGATCGCAGGACAGGCAGAACAGGCCGGACAGGGACAAGCTGGCTACGCCATCGCAGCACGAATTCAATCTGCAGTTTGTGTGGGTGCAGCCATGATCCGTCCCTTGGATCCAATGCCCGAAATTCTCTACAACAAATTGCAGCAAGTGCTGCTGGATTTCCAGGTCCAAGCAATGCACCCAACGCGATCAAGTCCTCTGAAAGAGTTGGAAAGGGCCACTCTCTTGCACTCCAAATTCCTCCTGGAGCTGTGCTTTGGCTTTGGCAGACTCTCCAGCATGCCCACGCGCCTAGCGGTTCGCTTGTTCAGTGCGATGCAAGTCTCAGATGGCTTAACCATTTGGAGCATCGTGGAGGAGTCTCCGTAGGGGTGGAAGGTAGAAGATATCATGATATCATATTGAATTATTGAATTATACAGAATTATACAGAATATATCAGAATATACTATAATATACTATAATATACTACAATATAATACTATAATATACTGTAATATAATACTATAGTATACTTTATATACTTATTTTACGTCTATGTTAGATAAGACATTAGAATCCAATGATCTCATGTTATCCAAGGACTTCTGATCAGAAAGAGATACCACCATGGTCCCAGCGATCGTTGTCAAATCGATGATCAAAACAGAAAGCAATACCGAAGGCAACACGGTCAGTGTCAAAAGCCTTGGGTGTCCTTTGATGAATTATATATACGTATATATATAGTATATATAATAGTTTATATAATATATAGTCTATATAGTTTATATATAATATATTATCATATAATGACATATGATATAATATAATGTTAATATAATATATATATATATAGTATAGTATGATACAATCTAATGTGATATAATACAATTATACATACGTATAAATATAGCTATATTTGTGATATAATATATTATAATATAATATGATATGATGTAATATAATGCAATATGATGTAATATAATATAATATGAAGTAATAAATCATAACATAACATAAATTTATGATATATTAATATAATATATATGAATATATATATATATATTATGCATACTATTTATATATTCAATTCATTCCAATTATATATCCAACGCATGTGCGGTCATTATATGATCATGCATAATCAAAGCATTCAGGAGCTTCGTTCTTGCATGAAGAGGCAAGGCTTTGGGCTGATGGTGTCAAAATATATGTTAAGAATGTTTGGACTGCTGAGTTTGTTGAGATCCAAAGTAACGATTTGATTCCAGAATAGCGATTCTACTCGATTCCATTCGATTTCTAGTTTATCAATGTTATCATTCGTTCTGATTACTGACTTATGGATGTACTTTTTGATGTTTCCACCATATGTTTCATTATTTTCTTTTTTGGGGTTTCAATATGTTTCACAAAAATCCTCTCCTTTGACAAATTTGATGGCCTCCTTGAGGAGCTGGCCACAGCACAAGACCTCGGAGGGTCATCGGCTGCAAGTGGCCTGTGTTGTGCTGCGAATCTATGGCTTGACATCGCTGCTGGCCGGTTCCTCTAGGCGGGGATGATTCAAAAGTGTCAAGGAAATTCAAGGAACCCTATTGGATCCGATTGGCAAAATTTGGCCCCACATATTTCATCATACTTCGACCTTTGTATCGCGAATTTTTGCGGACATCCCCCATGGTAATTGGAACACTTTACCCAAAAAAAATGACTTGGCTGCAGCAGGATTCTGGAAACCTTGGAGAAGCAGTCCGAGTACTCGGTCTCCAGCGCGTTGGAAGACATGACTACTGCTGCCCAAGCGCTAACCATGACGGAGTCACATCAGGTGCTCCAAGGTTGAACACTGATTCCACTGACGTTGGGTATTTACCTGTTTTCAACCTAACCTCAACAGATCCTCAACAGTACAAACTGGCTTTGGGGATCAAGATGGCTTGGTCAAAATGCACCTGTGGATTGATCACAGGATAGTTCAACCAGTACTCGTACAAGGTATTCACATTGTTAATCACTGTGATCGATTTCCCAATGAACCAGTGAAGCAAAGCGCAAACCGTTTGAGCAGTGGTCAAAGCAGGCAAAAAAGAAGCCTTACACACATAATATATCATAATATCACATATAATCATAATTAATCATACATAGTCTACAAATGGGAAGTTGCCCATAACCAGCTGAGATCACCTACCTCTGTGATCTCTGTGTTCAGGTCTCCTCCTTTGGTTCGTTTGGCGGCAAAATCGATCTCAGGGAGGAGAATGATGCGAACATGGAGGCCAGGCCATGGTTCCAGCTCAGAAAGCTCCTGGGTGATGTTCAATCCACACAGGAAAGAACAGAAAACGATAAATTAGGACAGAAAATAGGTAAGAATATAGGGAAGGAAATAGAGAAATAAGAGGACAGAAAATAAGGGAAGGAAAGAGATCAAGAACGATGCAAAGAAACAGGGAAAAAAATGCGAAGAAAATGTAGAAAATAGAACTACAGAAGAAAAGAGGAAAGAAATTAGGGAGAAAATAGTGCGGAAACTAGAGAATAAATAGTGCAGAAAAAAGCGCAGAACATAAGAAACACCATAGGCCTATAGGGAACAAAATTGTAAAAACCATGGAGAATATAATATATAAACGGGAAGAAACTCGGAAGAACATGGAAAAAACACATTGGAGAAAGGAAGGAAAAAGATGGAAAAAGGGACAAACATAAGGAAGAAATAAGGGAATAAAACAGGGAAGAAAATAGGAAAGCAAATACTGTAGGGGAGAAAACGTCGTGTTTTTTTGATTGTTTTGGCATGTCTTGGCGCCACAGGTGAGTTGGCTGGTCAGTTGGATGGTGCTCCAAGCCGCGGCCACTCTCTTTTGTGCCAAGCCCTGCAATGCGGGACAGACGCAAATCACCGCCTGGAGCATCAAACATGCGCGGGAACTGGCCACAGGTGGGAAAGATGGAAGGATTCCCTAGAGATCCTATAAATTGATATAACTTAAGTGTATACGTGTATGTTAAAATTGTGTAGGTGTTAGGTACTCGTATTGTTAGGTGTTGTGTTTTAGGTGGACGATTTTGTGTTCACCGAAACATACCCAGCAAATAGTGTTTTTTCATGCTGTGCCCCTGCAGGTCCTGCGGCTTCTGCTGTGTCCTTGAGAGCTGTGTCATTGCTGCTGAGTTGGCGCCAAAAGCTGGAAGCGGTGGCGGATGGAGAGGAAACTCTAGTGGAAGTGGTGAAAGCCTTGTCTGCGGCCAGTCACTACAGTACTTCTCAAGGTTCAGATTACTGCAACCTGTTCAGAAAATGGCAAAGTTGAGCAGAGTTGAAAGAAATCGACGTTTGGCAAGATCCCAATCTTGCTGGTCAGTGTTAGAAATGAACAGGAGGGCTGAAATGGGTAGTTATGGGAAGTCAAAAGGATTGAACAAGTAGCTGATGGTTCGGAGTCATCCAACATCATCCAACCTTTCTTGAGCAACCTTTCATCCATTCCCATGTGTCGTTGAGGTAAGTTGATGATGGGTTTGATCGGGATGCCATCATTGATCTTGCAACTGGGCCGTGTGCGTTGCACCCTGCATGAACGCGAAGGGCTACCTTCCAACTGCCTGATTTGCGTGCCAGGGATGTCGGATGGAAATGACAAGCTCCCCTCGTCCCATGACATAGTCATGAGACTCGGGTCTGGTTGGGGTGATATTTTGATATATTTTGTAGATTCTGTTTTTGATTGGTAAATCAGTAAATCATGGTAAATCACAGGTGTTTGGATCTTGGAATAGTGATTTTGCTGGGGCTTTTCGGCTCAGGAAAAGTGCCGATGGCTTGAGCCCTGAGCAGTTGCCTCTGGAATTCCTGGGAGTTAATGGGCGCTCAGAGGAATGGCCGGAAGATGAAACCTCTTTGATGATTCGGGCACTGAAGGATCAAAATCGACCTGAGGCGGTCTTCACAGTTCATCCAGGCGAGGCTTTAATGGTGTGATCCCATTTCTGCCCAATGTTCCATGGTTTTGAGATGTTTTGATCGTTTCATCCCAGGACATGTGTGGAAAAATTGGCGAAATTTTGCACAAATACCCCAAGCTTAGTGGAATTTGTTTCCCCCTTTCCATTGTTTGGTGATGTTTTGTGCATCGCGCCAGGTATCATCCTGGAGGGTGAAGATATCTTGATGGCCACCATGTCCTTAGCTGCAGCCAAGGTGAGATGCACCGGCCTCCCAAACTGCATCGGTTTTTATTCGGAGGACTGGCCATTCGAGGGCGATGGACCCGATGGACCCGATGGCGATGTTCGAGCTGAGGCTGGAACGAAGTCGACTCGAATGTGCACTGTGGACTGTGGACCTACACTTACACATGTTGGTCATGTTCTGTTGTGTATGTCTATGTAATTCTCTCTCTGGATATAGTATATTATTTGTACACAGAATATAATATTATACAATGCATTAATAATGAACCAATATATGTTATATATACGTATATATAGTTATAATATACATATATTATATATGTAATTACATTTATTATTATGTTATATATAACCGATCTTTTGTTGTAGAGTGCCCATGTTACAATGGTTGACTCCCACTCAAGTGGGGTGGAGTGGACTTTTCTGGAAGTTGCTGGGATAGCATGTGTGCATTAAAGGGACGTATATATGATTATTTATTTATATATAATCCTATGATATATAGTTGTGGTATGAATCAGATTTTCCCCCACAACTTTGTGTGGGGTTCTTGTTTTTGATTCTGTATCCCGGGTGCTTCGCCTCCCGCCTCCCTCCCGCTCGCCGTCGTCACACCCGTCGTCGCACACCATCTTTCACACACAACTTTGTCACACACCATCTTGCACACACCATCTTTGTCAGACCATCTTTCACACACCATCGTTCACACACAACTTTGTCACACACCATCTTGCACACACCATCTTTCACACACCATCTTTCACCCACCATCTTTCACACACCATCTTTGTCAACCATCTTTGTCAACCACCATCTTTCACACACATCTTTGTCAACCATCTTTGTCAACCACCATCTTTCACACACCATCTTTCACACACCATGTCTCACACACCATCTTTCACACACCATCTCTCACACACCATCTTTCACACACCATCTTTGTCAACCATCTTTGTCAACCATCTCTTTCACACACCATCTTTGTCAACCATCTTTGTCAACCACCATCTTTCACACACCATCTTTCGCACACCATCTTTCACACACATCTTTCACACACCATCTTTCACACACCATCTTTTACACAGACCATCTTTCACACACCATCTTTGTCAACCATCTTTGTCAACCACCATCTTTCACACACCATCTTTCACCATCTCTCACACACATCTTCCTCACACACCATCTCTCACGGCACTTTGCGTGGCACTTGGTGACATCCACCTTCGTTTCACGTGGCAGGCGTGGCACTTGGTGACATCCACCTTCGTTTTGCGTGGCAGGCGTGGCACTTATGGCACTGGGCTGGCTCTGCTGTCACACACCATCTTTGTCACACACCATCTTTCACACACCATCTTTGACACACCCTCTTTCAAGACTCTTTCACTCACCATCTTTGTCACAGACCATCTTTCCTACACCCTCTTTTACACCCAACTTTGTCACACACCATCTTTGACACACCATCTTTCACACACCACTTTGTCACCCATCATCTTTGACACACCATCTTTTCACACACAACTTTGTCACACACCATCCTTGACCCTCAAGTTTGTCACACACCATCTTTCACACACCACTTTGTCACCCACCATCTTTGACACACCATCTTTCACACACCATCTTTCACACAACTTTGTCACACACCATCTTTGACACACGACTTTGTCGCACACCATCTTTCACACACCATCTTTGACATACCATCTTTCACACACCATCGTTGTCCAACACCATTTTTGACGTACGACTTGTCACACACAACTTTCACAAACCATCTTTGACACACCCTCTTTCACACACCATCTTTGTCACACACCATCTTTCACACACCATCTTTGACCCTCCACTTTGTCACACACCATCTTTGACACACCATCTTTCACACACCACTTTTTCAGCTACCATCTTTGACACACCATCTTTCACACACAACTTTGTCACACACCATCTTTGACCCTCAACTTTGTCACACACCATCTTTCACACACCCACCATCTTTGTCACCCACCATCCTTCACACACCATCTTTCACACACCACTTTGTCACACACCATCTTTCACACACCACTTTGTCACACACCGTTTTTTACACCCAATTTTTTCACTCACCAGCTTTGACACACTATCTTTCACACACCACTTTGTCACACACCACTTTGTATCACACCATCTTTCACACACCACTTTGTCACACACCATCTTTCATCTTTCACACACCACTTTGTCACACACCGTTTTGTACACCCATTTTTTCACTCACCAGCTTTGACACACTATCTTTCACACACCACTTTGTCACACACCACTTTGTATCACACCATCTTTCACACACCACTTTGTCACACACCATCTTTCATCTTTCACACACAACTTTGTCGCACACCAACTTTGTCACACGCTCGCTCTTACAGACAACTTTCACACACCCCATCTTTCACAACAACGTTGTCACACACAACTTTGTTTTACTTCTCGGTCCTCCACCACTTCCTTTGTCTTTCCTTCTTTCCCCGTCCCCGCTACAACATTTGTTGCTCATTATTGGAAGAAGTTGCCTTGTGGGGTTATCCGGTCCTCTAATTTTAAGACAGGTATCTTGTTTGTGGTAGGATGTGAAAGGGTTCCCCAGCGCTTGCGCCGCAGTGTTGGCGCCCTATCAGGTGGATGTCCATTTCAAAACCGCATGGAAGCCCCGGACTATGTCCACAGCGAAATCAGGCCGAACAGCAGTGGCCTATCAGAAAGAGCGAGCATCTCCACTCTTCACACGACGTCAGGGTTATGCCTTGGATGGAGCAGATCTCTTTGTGGCTGAAATGACCATCGAGGCAGCCAAGAGGTTTTGTAGCGACTTAGAAAACTGCATGGGTTTTACCCTCCGCGGCAACTGCGGGGATGGCCCCACCTTGATCCATTTTAAATCTGGAACCAAACTGGTGCTTGATTCGACTGGAGTGAGCACCTGTTACGTTTTTGAGACTGAATCTCGAAGCCACGCATTGCCGGCAGACGGAGCCGCCTTTTTTCAGTTGATGGACGGCAAAGAGGAAGCTGCTGAGTCCACAGAGGGACACATGGAAGGCACTACTGGCGCAACATCACCATAATGTGGAGCTTTGGTAAGATCTTAGCATGGGTCAAGAAGCTATGTACCATTTGGATCCAGGATCTGGGAGGAGGTGCTTGTAAGGCTTACAAGCAGAATGACCACCCACCAAATATGAGAGAAAGTCAAAAAATCGTTGTTTTCCTGGTGTTTTTGTCAATGACCCACCCCGCCCTCCTGGCCCTGAAGAGGGTACATGGTGTTTTTTTAACCCAGAGTCAGATAATGTCCTTCTCCAACCATTAGCATCACATAGTGATGCCTGAGGGTTGGACGCACATCTCGACATTTGCCAGTGATACCAAAAGTTGCTGCCACGGGAGCGGATTGAGCCCAAGGCGATGGGTGATAATATGTGATAATCAGGAAAGTTACTGGATACATATTAGGTCATACTAGTATATGTGTATGTAACACTGAAATACAATGTAATACATATAGTAGTTATCCATAATTCATATTTATGATAATATGTATACATAGTTTTTACATAGCGAGAGATTCTCAATTCACATATATGTAGTTCATTTGCAATGGGGAACCAAAACTTGGACTGCTGGAGGCTGATGATCCCAATGCTCCTGTGACCATCTTCATCAATTCAGGTGGTGGTTTGGTGCTGCTGGCCACGGTTACTATCTCTGCACATCGATTGCAGTGTGTATATCATACATACATATATATATATATATACACGTATGTATATGTACATATATATATATATTAGAGAGTTATAGAGAAAGAGAGCGCGAGAGAGATCCGTGTTGAATGTTTTCTTGACGTATACATTAAAGATACGCATATGTATATAGTTCATAAAATGCATATCTAATCATTTCTATATACATGCGTGGCATACCTACATTTTCTGTTTTAATAACTCATATGACACAAATCACATCAAATCGCCTTGGAATTTCCCAGCCAGGTTCACAGTGGCTTGGCAATTCTGGATGTCATGGCAAACGTCTCCACTCCGTTGAAGACCGTGCGGCACCAAGATGCGGAAGCTGACCACGGAACTCGATTGAAGTTTGCTCGAAGTCTGGAAGATCAGAGTGCGGAACGCTGTGAAATGGGTTTGCTAGTAGTTTCCCAAGGTTTGCACGTTTACATGTGCCTTGCTTCTCATTTCTGATAGTCCATGCAGGGAGCTGCGAATATTGATGTGCATGCCAAAAAGTTAGTGTGCTAAGCCGCTCAGCGCTTGCCAAAGTCAGACAAATCAATCAAAAGCCGGAACCAAGTTACGTTCATCGTCCATGAGTGCAATCTACTGGAAAAACACACTCACTAGTTACAAAGAACTTGAAACGCTTGTTATGTACCATCACACGTGGGCGTTCACCTTTCCTATGAAGCTCCGTGAGGTTTGCTATGGCCGCTGTTTCTCAATTGCTGCTGTGCTCTTGGCGGTGTTGTTCTCGGGTCACAGACAGTTGGACGGTCTTGGACCGTCAGCAGAAAACAATGATGATATATGGAAGTGATGCGGAAGTAGGAAATCCCATGGATGACATTTTCCACGGAAATCTAAGGTGGTAATAGGTGGTAGATGTTTCCATTTCCAGCTGCATTAGCAAAGGAATCCAAAGAGTATAAAGAGTACTTGTCTCTGTCTTTATTCGACTGGTTGATTTTTGGTCAGACAACTTTTGACTCGCAACTTGGTTTTTTTTGTTGGCTTAGGCTGGAACACCCGGCCACAGGTCTGCATATGAGCATGCGAGATTAATGATTCATGAGTCTTGGACCTGTTGGACCTGTTGGAGAGAATGTGCAGAGATAGGTAGCTTGTAGCGCTTGTAGCTGGCGGTTTGCCGCTGACACCTTTCCCTTAGCAGCTGATGAAGGTCACCTCCATCTCAACCAAGGAACCCAGTTGCAGCTATCCCAAGCTTTCAGCTTCGGATGTGATTCTGAAAGCGGAGGAATTGCGAAATACCAAGCAAACCTTGGAAGAGGTGCTCAGCAGATTGACTGGGAAACCTTTGGCGAAGACCTCAGAATGCAGCTAGTGATTTTTTTCTTGGATGGGTTCACCTCATGGTTCACCTCCATCAAACAGGGGTTGGTAACTGTCCCATTTTGGGAATATTGGACATCACCTTATAGTAGCCATTATAGACCATATACCTAATGGTTGGGTGATGTTCAATGGGGACATTTAATGACCCATGTCAAAGAGATTTTGATGGATGACTGGTGAGAATTGGATGACCAGCTCATCCAGCCAGACTGTTGTTCCGTACTCAGGCAGACATCGTTGATGCCGTTGCTAGGGACAGATATATGTCTGTGCAAGAGGCTGCCGGAGTCTTCACTATGGTGCCAAACTAGACCAATGAGAAATATCAACTGCATTCCTTGTCTCCTCCTAAATCTCGAAATTTAGACATGTTCTCTTTAAGTAGAAAAAGATAGAACATGTATGAAAAAGTTATGCTTCTCAGAAGTCCTTGCTGGGTCAGGGCAGGGACTGGATTGGTGGACAGCATCATCAGCCAAAGCGAACGGCGTGCAGGTCCTGCCGTGAAATGATGATCCCAAAGGTTGTGAATCGATTCGCCATGCGCCATTCTGGGATCAAAAGGATCTCCTTAGACCAAACAAAGATAAACAAAGGATATTCTTATCGAGAAGGATGTGTGATTTCTCAAACCGTGATTTTGTTGATCTTTTTCCCCACCTGCCAGGTGATGGTCTCTATAGATTTTATCAGAGTTGTTTCCTCCTCCTCCTCCTCCTTCTCCTCCTGCAGCCTGGGGCACGGCCGGACCTCAGCCAGACGAAAGAGAGAATGTCAGAATAGATGCCAGAAACAATGTCAGATAGAATGTCAGAATAGACTAGATGCCAGATAGAATGAATGCCAGGAAGAATGTCAGAATATATGCCAGAAAGTATGTCAGAATAGATGCCAGCCAGATAGAATGTCAGATAGAATGTCAAAGATACACACTTCTAGATGGTATGTCAGAAACTACGTCAGAATAGTGTTTCAGGGTGGGGATCACTCGAAGAAAGGTAAGAAAGTAATTTTGGCTTAAGGACCGCCAGGCCCGGTACAAGTCGAAAGTTGCATCATCGTCACAGGTGTTGATCCAGGAAAAGTACAGCAGGCGGGGCAAACTACAGCCTGTGCTGGGTGATAGGTTTCAGAGACGCAACTGCAAGAGATCCCATGTGCTCCTTGTACGGTATGTTTACCTACATTTGCGCATTGTTTGGGCCATGTTTGGGCCAAATGTTGGAACATTTAACACTGGCAAATTGACAGTAAATACGTGGTTGTCTAGTATGCTTAGGACCGGAATTCGGAGGGCGGATATGAAATGAAACCCAGATGTGAATCATGCCGTAGTAGGAAGTTTGTCATGGACCTCTCAAGGAGAAGAAGTGACCTGTGCCGTGACTGAGCAATTCATGGCCATGGATTGGAATGGATTGGATATGTCTGATATGTTTCATTCCATGTCATTCCTCAATATGTGAGTGTCAAGCAGTTCTCCAAACGGCCGGCGCAAGTCCTGTTGACATACCCAGATCCTGCCAAGCCTTGCTGGAATGGCCCACTTCATTGGGCGACCTGATTAGTTACCGGAAATCTAGCTGTGTGCATCATGCAAAGGTCGAAAAGATGCATTTTTCAGTTTCATGCTGCTATGAATTCGGCTTGGCTAGTCTGCCATCCATTTGATAGCATTTCGATGCATTCCTGTATTCATCAACCAAAGATATCCAAAGATGAGGAGTCCTGAAGATGGAAGCTCATAGTTTATTGGGCAAATCGAACCTAGAAAGCGATCACGATTCTTCAAAAGAGTTGATGATTCTTGCTTCCTTTGAAGCTTCGCAGCTTTGGGCCCCAGCAAAATCAATCCCATGAATCAATGCAAAGAAATTCCAAGCTTTCATCTGGCATCACCACACAATGACCTTACGAAGAATGACATCACTGGGCCCCCGCTGTTTCGCTGCGAGCTGTGCAGCCCATCATTTCATCATGGAAGAGCCATCTGGCGCCATGGGGTGCTTCAGCCAGCTGCTCCACATGCCCCACGAAGTATGTGCCGGGATTGTTTGGAGTTTAGGCGTGGAAGACACTGCCAAACTGGCGTCCAGCTGCAAGCTCTTTGCTCAGGAAACACTGGCGCTGAAGGTTCAAAGCCAACCTAGAAATGAATGTCGTATGTGTCACACGTGAAATTATCTGTACACATATTGACATCAATAAAGTTTATATAGATGTAATATTATGATATAGTATGGGCCATAATGGGTCTTTATGGGTGATACTGTGCATATTAGAGATCCAAGAGTGGAAATATGATCCGCGCTCCAATAATATATGTCCATGTTTGTGGAGCTGTTAAACCCTTTAGAGGAGACGACTGATGCAGAGCTGTGGTTTCAGCTTTTTCTACGAACTTGTTGGCCACCCTCGGGTGCGCTGCTGGCTTTTGCGGAGGGTACCACCACCCCAGTGGGCATCGACTGGCGACATAGGATGCAAGTGCGCATGGAATCGACTCCCACCATAGTGGTGGACATGGGCCGAGGCTACACCAAATTTACTGTAGCTCATGGAGTACGGGGACGTGGCTTGACACGACGGACTTCGAAGTTTATTTGAAAGGAGGGTCTGACAGATATGGATAGCTGATTCAGGCATCTTGCCATGCTAACTATTGTCGATGGGTCCCACTTTGTAATTCATAGGCCTCATAGGCTTCTCTGCATTCCGGAATTCCCCCATCAGGGGCCGCAAACGCGCTCCGATGGCGCTCCGAGGTTGGGAGATGGATGGATGTCCACCGGAACTGGTGCAGCTGTGTTCATCACCCACTCACCCACCGGATTGTGATCGCAACGAGCAGCTGAGCTACATCCATCACCGCTTGGATCGCACCTTTCTGGATGCTGCCACGGATCCAAGTCATCGGCTTCACAAGGCGGCACTGGGTCCCAGGAGCGAGCTCAAGGCTGGGAAGAAACTTTCCATTGCTGGATTTAACATGATTTAAACACGATATGTCATGATATGTCCATTTCTATCATTTTCTGGGCCGGTTTTGTTGCACCCTTGAAGGCGTAGGATGATTCCCGCTCCTAGGAGAAACATGCATAAACATGAAGGGGTTTGACCAGGGTGACTGGTCGGTCCCTGAGGTTGACCAGTATGCAGTCTATCGGACACCAACAGCGGCCGGTGCGAATTTGGTCTTGGTGAGGTTGCTGCAGCACTGCAAGGAGCTGGTTGATGGCTTCGGGTTGGGGATGAAGGGGGTCCTGAAGAAAAAGGCGGTCCGGTCCCATAAAAGTGTGTGACGCCAAGATGTGCAAATGGTATTGTGAAGCATATCGATAATGATTGAGAAGTATATACTATGCTGCCAATTGCAGATGATGTATTTTCACTTTCCATCGGCTGATGGACGTTCGCATTGAAACTGTTTCCCAAGGAGGAGAACCTGTGGAGCGTGGAGGCTGTGAAAAGGCGCTCAGAAAAGCCCTTCAAAGTGGGGCCAGAGGACAGCTGAAATGTTCGCCTGCCGATTTTCTGTGACATCTCTGAACAGATCTGAACTCCATCTGAACCTTACCTGTGACATCCTGTGACATCCTGTGTCCTGTGAAGGAGTTGACGCCAATGAGGCGAGCACATGATTTGCCCATTCTGATTGGAGAACCCTTCGTGATCACCGCCAACCGCGATGCCAACTCCCAGTCCAGTTGGGACTCCCTGATCCGGTCGCAACTTGGAAACAACCGCCCTGGAGCTGTGCAGGCACCGATGGGTCTTGATCATCTTGATCAGTACGTAAGAGTGATCCACCAAGTGGGATTGATCCAAACTTCCAAACCAAGATACACTGAGATTTAACCAGTGTGGTTTCGGTTCCTAGTATTTGCTATAGGCCCGGTTCGGTTCATGTTCGGTTTCGGTTCCTGCGCTTCCTGATCGATTTCGGTTCGGTTCGGTGTTTGGAACATTCTGCATGGATATTTGTTTTTTTTCCCGGCGTCGGAAAAGCAAATACAGATTGCTTCCCGCAAGAGGTTTATTGCTTCCCGCAAGAGGTTTCATGAGCAGCGGCTTTCAAAAAGTGGAGAGAGCTGAACCCGGAAAAACAAATTTCCTGAAATTGTCAATACATGCAATTTATTATGAAGAAACCCATATTTGTTTTTTTCATTGAACTCAAAAAGCAATTACAACTTTTCCAATCAGTTTATTGGGGGAGGGTAAGACGGTTCCGATTCCTCCGGTTCGGTTTTGCACACGGTTCCAGCGGTTTACGGTTCCTACGGTTCATAGGCTATTTGATTTTCTACGGTTCGGTTCCACGGTTCCGGTTCGGTTCTAGAACCTTACTGTTTAACATTGATACTTGATATACAGTGCTTGCATTTGCCCCAGGTTGCTTGGTTTTCTGGAGAACATGGTGTTCTTTTTATTTTCCGTTGTCTCAAGCCACTGATAGATGGGTCTGTCCAAAAATGGGTGGGGTCCCTATCCATCATGTGGATATGACGTGTCATTTTGGTCGGGCAAACCTATCCATCTTGGATAACATCCCAGTTTCGATTCAATTTAGACTTTTAAAAATATATTTTAAAAAAAAACATGTGTTATATCCCCCATCCCTAAAGCATGCATATTGGGGGGTCGTACACCACCCCCTCAAAATATTAATTCCTCTGTCTCGGAAACGCGTGCCCCGGGGAATTCATTTTAGACAAAATGACTGTTTGGGTCAAGGTGGGTATGCCTTCATATTGTCCCTCCATGTCCCCCCTATTGCTCATGAATTTTAGGGGCAATGTACCCCTGCCACTATCTGCAAAACCACCTTATGCTTATACATGCTTAATTAATCTTAATTATACATTTCCGGGGGGGTTCTGTAGGTATTCCCCCAGGAATCCCCAGGGCGTGCCCGTGTGTGCCCGGGTGTGCCGGTGTATTGAACCCCCCGGTCCAATACATTTGTAGCTGTTAGTGTCATCACTTCGAAATCAACTACTGTACATGTAACTGAATACAAGCTTGAATACCCATTGCGAGCCACTGTGCGCTCCAAATAAACAAAAGATGTTCAAGCTGCATCGGCGAAAAAAGGCGAGAGACCTGCAGGGTGAAGACCCTGTCTTGTCCTTCTGACTTGGGGCCCGTATATGCAATACATTTTGGCATTAACCTGTCCCTCCTAGTTTGGATACATTATCATAAATGTATTGGGAGGGGCGGAGATACATAAAGTAGTTAGAGAGGGTGATGTTTGTATCGCGTTCTATTCTTTCATGTTCTGTTGGGTTAGTTAATGTTAGTTCTCTCCCCATTTTTCCACATGTTTCCCCATAGTTGTTGGTTTTTTGGTAGTTTCCCCATAGTTTCCCCATAGTTTCCCCAATGGTTACTGGTGAATTCTGGTGAATTTCCCCAGGGTTTTTCCACATGTTGCCCCATGGGTGCCAGGTGGTGTCGCAAGCACAGATGGCCTTATGGGCCCACGGCTTGGACCATGGCATCGTGGTGAACATTGGACAGCAACAAACCATCGCCATGCCCGTGCTCCGAGGTGGGGATGCTGGGGATGGGGAGAAGATATGGATGATATGGATGTGGAATGGTTTCAAACCATGGAAAAATGGAGGTTTTTTTTGATGTGTGATGCAAAAAAATGTTTCCTGCTGGGGTAGTTCTCTCGTGTTCACTGCAATCTGTTGGAAATATGTGTGACATGTTTGCTCCGCTTTGCTGCTCACGAGGTGAGGTCATTGCTTCTTGCTCCACGACGTGCAACATTGGAAGCGCTGACTTAACACAGGTGGCCCCAAGCACGACAGCGTCGTTGTGTCAACATGTTGTTTTGTTTGTTTAGAAAAAGAGGCACTTCACAGAGTCATGTCACAGTTGATCGGTTCCCAGAATTGCATAGAATTGCAGTGAACCCTTTGAATGATGAACATATGCACCACTGTCAACAGATGTATATCATTTACACTTCTTGAAGATCCCAACCACCAAGGGTCAACCTCAAGCACTGCAGAAAGTGACTAAAAAGAGGCGTTTCTGAATTCGAATCAGAAAAGCACCAACAGCATGCAGCCAAGCTTTGGGCAGGTCATGGTGTCGTTGATGCATAGAAAGGCCCCATCTTTGGATAGTTCTCTCATGACTTGGTGTCGAGACTTGAAGGAGGCCTGAAGAACTGGCTTGTTTTTGGGAAATCCATGGCTGCTTGGAGGATTTCCAGTGTCGGCCTCCATTTTTCAAGGGTAGGTTTCATATTGCAGAATTACAGTCGAAATCACCGGTGGAATCTGCAGTTCCCTGGAGGAATATTGCTACGTGTCGCCCCCTGCTGGGAATATGACTTTGAGAGCTCGCTTAGCGGCTGGGGATGACTTTGGCATTCGGCCTGTACCGGTGGAGCTACCAAACTTTGCCCGAGGAGAGCAAAGCACGGTGGAGCTGGCTGAGGACAGCTAGATGTTTAGGATGAATACGAGAACACCAAATATGTGAGAGATTTAAAAAGGACGAAATCATAATCATGATTATCTCTTGAAGGAAAAACATGGCAAATGGGAGTTTTCCAGCTATTCAATCAGCTATTCAGCTATTCCATCAAATCCTAGATTGCAAGAGGGTTCCCCCTGAAGGAGCGAGTGATCGTGCCCGAAGTTCTTTTCGAGAGCAATCGAGGACCACGGCAGACCTTGCCTCAGATCATTGTGGAGTGCGCCAGCATGGTCCACTCCAAAGGCACGGATGGAATGATCGGATGGTCCCCTGAAAACACCGGGAACACCATGGAAAACCAACAGACTATATATACATATACATATAATATATACATATAATATATATTATTTATATATAATATATATATAATATATATATATAATATATATATATATATACAGCAATACATATATATATATACCATGTTTTCCAGATTTTATCACGCATGTTTTTTTACAGTTTGAGTTGAGTTTATTCAGTATTTTATGTTTCGGATACCTTTCAGGTTTGAGGTATGGATTCCATGTTCGACAAATTATCAACATTTTTCTTATTCATGCGCGATTCCATGGTGTTTTAAGATTTAGGCATGAGTTTCTTCAAACAGCGATTCCAAGATGATCTACTAGCAAGTTTTGATCCAGGCATGAGTTGGGCATGAGTTTGTCGTTTGACCATACATACTGCATGCATGCATGATACATACCAGTACATACATACATACATACATACATACATACATACATACATACATACATACATACATACATACAGACATACAGACATACATACATACATACGTACACAGACAGACAGACAGACAGACAGACAGACAGACAGACATACATATCATATCATATCATATCATATCATATTACAATGCATATGATGTAACAATTCGGATCTTGGATATGGATACGGTAATACAGATTCATATAAAATGCATGTGAAAGCTCAGCCACTGAAAGCCAAGTGTTGCATAATCGCAACTGCAAAGGTACGTACACACAGGAGGACGTCCGCGACTTGCTTCGGCAAGTGGTCCTGGTGGGTGGTGCTGCAGACTTTCCAGGGATCCGTCCCCGTGTGGAGTACGAGATGCGCTGCTTACTGCAGAGAGCCGAGAATCAGCAGCTCAGTAGCTGCTGTGAATCAACAGATGATGTTTATGTGCTAAATCCTCCACTGGATCGTTCTTCCAATCCCCTGGTGTCACCTCGATTCGTGCCCTTGTTTGGTGGATGTGTCCGCGCCGCCAGTTCAGCAGGCTACGGGGAGTTACAACGTGACAAGAACACTGGGGCACTTCGCAGCTTGCCCTTGCAGGCCGAGGATTTGGAACCGGGCGAGGATGGTGGGCTGAGACGGCGCCTCATGTGGCAACGCCGGATCTCTGGGATGTTGGCGTTACAACTTCCAAATATCTTCCGAACTGGTGGAGGAGGTGGAGAAGACGATCAAGTTTGGCAAGAATTCTTTGAGAGTGATGAAGAGATGGGGGCTCCGGATGAGTCAGCGAGCTTCTGGGCTCTTGTTTTCAGGGGATGTTGCGTTTCGTGTTTCAACATGGTTCAACCCACTCTTGGATATGTTCATTTGTTTGACCCATGTTTGATCAACATTTTGGCCTGTTGAACCATGATTATTTTTGAGGTCGCGCCATCTTTTGGGGTGTATAGATCAAGCATGATGAACCGTTTTTTTGATGGTTGCTGGAACTACCAACTGGCCACCTGCCACCAGGCTTGGCTTGCTCAGAGGAGTCACCTCAAAGCCCAGACAACGCGTCCTCGTCTCACAGCCACGCCAGCCCCGCGAGATCTGGCAGATGCGCCACCAAAGGACCGGGGTAAGGAATGGCTGTAGTAGAATCCCACAGAATCCTGTAGGATGATGAACATGATGAAATGTCAGAAGTTTAGATGACTGGGTTGGTCATGTTCCCTTCTATATTCCATGTATATCCATGTATGTCTTGTGTTTTCTCACCATCTTCAAGTGCTGGTACCTTTGGGCCCAGGACGAGGCAAGGGCAAAGGAAAGCGGAAGGGTTCTGACGCCAGCCGCGGTAGAAGTCGCCGTATTTGGCGCCCGGTGCCGGGCGCCCAGGGCGATGAAGAATGAGGGCCCCGTGTCGGGTTCCTTTGTGTTTAAAACGTGTTGCTGGGGGGCAGTGCACAACTTTAGAAGTGCGAGGAATACACGTCAAAAAGTTCAAAAAGATTCAAGAATGGGTACTGCAAAAAAAAAGGCCACTTTGATATTCCCAAATTCGCCTTAAGTCAGTGCGAGGAAACATCTCAATACTCAACAATTCAGGTTCAAATCGACTTCATGGGTTTAGCACTGAATTGACCCGGCAAAGCATCAAGTAGGTGCTCGACCCACCGGATTTTCCCCTCGCGCGGCTCAACCAGTCGTCGCCTGCGTGGGAGCAGCTGCCTCAAAAAATGCTGTAACACTGTACCGCGCTGGCAGAGTTGATGCCAAAATTCGGCCCTGAAAGGCTTAACAAGGGGACTCAATTTGCTCGATTGGAGATTCTTGGAGTAGCCTCTTATAAATCCGAAGCCTGGTCAGCCAGGAAAATCCCATTTGCCATTAGATTCCCATTTCTGGTAGATGTCCTGCTGTTGCTCGGTAGCTTTTGGGCTCAGACTCGTGAGCAGCAACCGCGACCTGCGCGGGGTGTGGGGATCCCAGGTTGCTGCGGTTGATGCACAGCTCTGGGTCTTTTTTTAAGGGACCCATGTGGAGACACATCTGCGCTCAAGGGGAATTCCAAACATGGTAGATCATGGTAGGCTGGTTGATGTTCTCTTGCCTCCCAACAATGGCAAAATTCAGTATAGGAATGTATAAGGGATTGAAGGGCATTTGATATGGTCAAGCTTGAGATTCGCAGTGTGTCAAACACATGCTCTTTTATATGATACAGGGTGGTCACCCAGTCTACCACCTGTCATCACACCTTTGCTCAGAAGATGCGGGCGCTGGTAGCCGTGAAGAGGGTGGTGGACTATGCTGTCAAGGCAAGCAGGGATAGCGTGCACGGTGCGGGAGCAAGCAAATGCAGAGTCCATGGAGTTGTGGCCTTTGGTCAAATTTCTTGTCAACGTTTTCGTTTGAAGTGTTGCACCTGCCAATGTTGTCCTTTGTTGTTTAATCCTAGCATCCCATATTGGGACTTATAAGTGCCGCTCGTGGCGTACCAAGCAGTATTTCTATTTCATGTCATGTCCATTGAATCAGCAGCCACCATGGCACAGCACGGCGCCAGGTGAGAGTAAAGCCAGACAAGACTGGCATTGACTTGAACAATGTGAAAATGTCGATGAACCCGTTCTGCGAGGTGGAATCCGCGTGACACATGGTACCAAAAAAACACCAGCAATTGTGCATGACAGTTGATCTGGGTCCCAAAATTGGGTTCCCCCTAGCCAACAGTTCTGATGTGGAGAACTTTATGGTCTTGGTTTGACACTCCTGAGACCAGCACGCTTCCAAGAACTACACTCCTTCAAGACTGCAGCTTTGCAGATCGCCGTGGAAGAGGGCTTGCGGCTGAAAGAGCGGGGTGCCAAGATGTTCCCAGAGGGAACTTAAAAAAGGATGAACTTTGCAGCAACCCAACCTAAGCATGGTTGGAAGATGTTGGAAAATGTTGGATGCCGAGCCATGCCCAGGAAGGGACACATCTCAGAGTTGGTGGCCGTTTCCGCAGGACCTGACAAGGCAAGTGGAGTCCAGAAGGTGGCTGAAACGCCACCTGGATGAGGGTCAAAGTGTTGCAGGTGTCCAGATCTAGATCATGGTGATATATGGTGATATATTGTGATGATTTAATTGATTCAACCTTCCAACCTCTGGTTACATGTTCAAGTTGTCAGGTCTATGTTTATGTCAAAAAGTTCCCCAAACAAGCAGGGGTAGGAAGACTTTAAAAGAAGATGTGAGAAGCCACATGTTCAATGCTCTTAGGATTTCGTTTGGTGACGGCCCAACTTGTTGTTGTTTTATTTTTTTCGGAAATAATATGGGTTAATTCCGTTGATCTTGGTCAAAGTTTTACATATCGGCCTTACAAATACCCTTCTTGCATGAGGATGGCTTCAAGCCATATACTCCACCATACCGTCCTTTGTTAAGAGACTTAGTTTCAGATCCCGAAATTCGTGCCCCATTTGGGATCGCCATAGCCATGTTCAGCAGTTTTCATTCCCGCAACAAGTTGATGTACAGTACTGTACCGCTTTGTATACGATCCAACTTGGCACTGGAAAATCCAAGAAAATTGATATCCATTTCTGATCATTGATGTTGATGATGTCGTGTTTCCATGTTATTCCCTTAAACATCCTTTGAAATCCTCCATTGATTTCCGGTTCTGGTTGTTTGCCCCCACCCAAAATATGGTCGATTCCCATGTCACATCTGCCCCTCGAAAGGCCTCAGAAACCCTGCGGCAAGCCTTGGCGATGGGTGCAGATCGTGCCATCCATCTGAAGACGTGCAGCTGGCACCGATTTGAAACGCAGCTGGATGACCTGAGTGGTAGCAGGTAGCAGCAGCTAGCAGTGAATGATCCATATAATTTAATATAATTTATACCATTGACATCCATTGACGTGAATTGTCTAGAATGGTTATCTATGGTTCTCTAAGATTAGCTATCATGATCTATGATAAAAATTCATGGGTGACCAAGCCTCGTACATTATCTATAATTATCTACTCCGAGTGCCCCCTGGCAACAAGTCATGGTTGTCCATGGTTTTTCGCCCATTGTTGGAAAGGATGGAAAGGTTGCTGTCAGTGCGCTGGATGTTGGTGGCTTGTTGGTAGTGTGAGGATGACTTCTGCGCCAGGGACTTGAGAACAGATCAGGAACTGCAGCCCTTGGCTGTGGCAAAGCTTTTGGCCAAAATAGTCGAGAAGGAGAATTATGTGTGCAGTGTTTGTTGGAGTGTCCTTTGCAGGGTTTTTGTTGTTGGCTAGTGATTGCAGCCATTACGGAAACTTGGATCCATGCTGTCAATGACATGTGTTTTCAGCTGCAACATTCAGACTGGTCAGATCTTTCGGGTTTGCCATTGGAGGGTTGGGGTATTGGCGTGGTGTTAAGTATTGAACACTGTAGAAAATACTACTGGAAGACATACTAGTGTACACCTCAATGCTGTTGGACCAAGATTCGGAATGAGCTGTCAAAGTTGTTTTGTGGCCCGCTTTTGACCTCCAGGAAACCCCTAGCGTTGTTCTGCTTGGCAAGCAGGCCATTGGCGGGCTGCGAGTGGATTGCTTGGTTTGCCACATGATATTGAATCCTTCAGCAGAATTTGAGTACTAGTGTACAGTATGTGAGTCACAATAGGCTCCACAAAACATGATCCAATGTATCAGTTTGTAGGCATCCATGCTTTTCGATCATGTGATCCAAAGGTCACGTCCAGACTGGATCAGGCCATTGATGATGATAGCAACCAGACTGGAGCCCTACTTGCTGGCCTGGGACCCAGCTGCACATCCAGGCTTGAGGATTCAACATTAACATCTCATCCGACAGCCTCCAAATCGCACAGATGAGAATATTTGGGACCGACTCCAACCTACAGATTTTGGTCAGGGTGAGGATCTACATTGATTTACCCTTATCTGGTTGGTGGTTTGGAACATGTGTTTCCCATATATTGGGAACAATCATCCCAACTGACTAATATTTTTCAGAAGGGTTGAAACCACCAATCAGACTAATCAGACCCTTATTTAAGCATTCCGTTTGAGGCAAAGCACCACTACCATTTGGCAATGACTTGACTGTGAGGCCTTTTGAAATGGCCGCAGGCAGGTTGTGCCTCCAAGGTGGAGGCGCCATTGCTGCACCATTTAGAAAATATGAACAGTGGTAAGAGTGCCTTTTTATCATCTGGTAGATGTTTACATTGAACGGATATGAACATGACCTTTTTCTTTTGCTTGATATGTGTTAATGAGCTCAGTCGACCAGTTTAAAGCTCAACCCCAGAACCGAGCCCAAAAGCAGGTGGATGAAGGCAAAACGGCTTTGCAGGTGGAGCGAGAGGCGGGATTATTGTGTTTGGTTTGTCTGAAAAATGTCGATACTTTTGGGGAATAAAGAATAGAAACGGTGAGAATTATATAGTCAGCTAGGGAACTAAGCAACAAACCATGTCATAAATGAATGTGATTTGGGGGTTGTCTGAAAATGGGGTATGTCCCAGTTTATTGTCATACTAATACTGGAAACGTATGATAAACCATTCGATCTTGTGCCTAATTACCTAATTTAACCTTTCGGCAAACCTCTATAGATGGCTGTTGGTGTTATGTTTTGATAAACTACCATGGTGCTTGTTCAACCTTTGATCCTGGTATACGGTCAAAACAGGGATTGTGATGGTCCACTATGGTCACAACTTTCCACGACGCGCCAGGTCGGTGTAATGTATACATACATATAATTACACATATGTATATATATATACACATATACAACAGACTTTTTTTCAGGGCTATATTAGGAAAGCCAAAACACACACATTAAAAAACAAAAGAGTTCGAAAATGAAAAAATGAAACAGTTCGTGTTGGGACTGTTGGGACCTTTTTTTTGGTTTCCATATAATTAGTGTTGTGTCCTATATATCTTCTTCCTATATCCAGTTTTCTCCACCACGGCACACAGCAGGTGGATGCTGGGATCCAAGAGGTCAAGGTGCCCCTACCAGCAGTTGCCCGGGATCCTGCCCGGTGAGGTGTCATCGTTTTGATGGATAGGATATGATAGGATCAACAAACATGTGGGGGGTTAAACGGATAGTAGCTGGTTGATGGTTTTGGGATGTGTTTGGGATATTTTTTGGATGTTTTGGGATATGTTTACTATTGTTTACTCATGTTCCATCTGCAGATGCTTATGGACTAATTCAAATGACCACAATTGACCGCACTACAACTTTTGGGGGATGGATTGAAACTACCAAGCCGAGCATCAGATTGGCACACTTTGCAGATGTTTCGATCACAGACCAGTGATGGTTACTGTTGCCAGCGGCCGAGGTTACTGCAGACCTCCGATTAAACGAACCACGTGGGATGCTCAAGATGTGGTAGTCCTGCCCTGGACAGAACAGGTGGTGATATTGATCTCACCATGCTGCTGAGGTTATGCAACTCTCCCAAACCTGATGAAAGCCAAGAAGAAGCCCATGGAGGTGCAGCTTTCCCAGCTCTTCAATTTGTGTTTTAAAAGTAATGCCCTTTTGCATTCCTTTGCGATAGAATTGCCATTTGGCCCCTATGACCGCTTCAATGATCCTCCTCATCCTAATTATCGTATCCTTATCATTTGTTTCATCGTTATCATCCTCATCATCATCATCATCATCCTACGTGTTTTCTTCTTCATTGTTTTCTTCTTCATTGTTTTTTCTTCTCCATCTTATCCATCTTCATCTTTTTCTTCTTCTTCTTCTTCTTTTTCTTCTTCTGCGTTCTCTTTATTACCATCATGATCTTTTCTCATGTTCATCTTCATCTTCATCTTCATCTCCTTATGGATGCGGATACCCAGTTCCAGTGACCCAGCGATCTCATATCGAAATCGCCACTTTGGCAGCCTACCTTGGGCTCCAGCGTTGCCGCGGCCAAACCCACAGCCGCACCCGGGTTGCAGCGCCATGCAGAAATGGGTGTCTCGTACTGAGACGTCTGTACTGCAGCCAACTCAGGACACTACCTTAGACACTTAGACATAAGATGTCAATTCGGTGGGCTCAGGTGTTGGTGATAGATAGATATGTATATAATTATTTATTTATTTATATATTATATTATATTATATTATATTATATTGTATTATATTATATTATATTAGATTATATTATATTATATTATATTGTATTATATCATATTATATTATATTATATATACTTATATATATATCCTTATATATATGTATATGTGTTATATATATATATATGTTATACATATTGATAGAGAAGAATTTAGTCAGAATATCAGAATATCCTAGAATGCCCAAAGTGTACCAATATTTTTTGGATTTTTTGTGTGGATTGCTGTGGATAGAAGTTGATAGAAAACAATTTTCCATGATGCTCAGGGAACGCCAACAGTGTGTCTATTGAATCAGGGTGCAACTCTTCTATGGATCTTGAAACAGTGGCCATATGTCACTGATCAAGCTTCAGCTTATGTTTAAGAATATGTCCAAAATATTTGAACTAAGGTTAGTTTCATACAGTTTCCGTCCAAAGATTGATCATGAACCGTGGATTGCGGGAGGACGAGATTGCCTTTGGCCAATACGCTCCTGCCCGGTGCTGGCGTCGTGGCACTGGGGGTGGGTCGTGCTGGCAAGTCTTTGTGCTCAAAGTTGCAGGGCGTGGCTCCAAATCGGGAATTGCTTGGTTGTTTGGTAGTTCAACCAGCCGATGTGTTTTTAAATGATTCAATTCTATTTGTTGAATCATTGAATCCTATTGTTTTTGATAGTGAAAAATAGAGGAATTTCCACTGTCAGGTTTGCTTACCACGTGGAAATCACCCTGATTTTTGCAAGAAGATCCTGCTAACTCCACACTTGGGATAGGAATGCCCCTGCAATTGATAAATGGTTTCATATGGTTTCCATCACAACATCACCAGGCATGTCGTCCATCTTGAGGGAATACAGCTACAGCCAGGTATAATGACCCAGCATCCTCTAAGAAGTTTGGCGAAACGATGGACTTCAAGAAATGGATGGTTGCTGCCTCAGCATCCCATAGTTTTCCCTTTGAGATTTCCTTTGTGCGCTGCAATAACTGAAGTCTCACAAGGAAAAGTGGACAGATCTGTCTTCAACCACCACTTGGAGGCACACCCTTTCGCTTTGATTCCATGATTTCCGGCGGCTGCAACAACCACACCGCAGGTTGACGGCCACATCGAATCGAGCTGGCTCTCCAGTGCTTGAGCTGCAAGTGCGAGAGAATAGCTGTTATTGGCCGTTACTGAAAATTGGGAACCCGGAATCAGATTCCTGACTGGATATAGTGATATAGCCATGTTGATGTGTGTGTGTGACACTTTGATAGATGTTTTAAGTCGGATTGTACGAAATCGTTTCCCGTCCAAAAACTAGCCAGCTTTATCATGTTTTATCATGCTTTATCCAATTGCCGCTTGAGATGGCACCTGTTCATACGTTCCTTGTTGGTTTCACTTAATGGGAAAGGCTATGGATGTTCTTTTCGCCCCTTCTTTGTTCCGCTGTTTCCCGGTCGCCGTTTCTGTTCGCAGCATCAAGCTCCGGACACCAGCTGCTTAGGCGTCCTTCAGTCAAAGACCTGGAAGCCTCTCACGGAGTAAAGAGGTCACGGTGCCAACCATCGATCTCCGAACATCTGTCAGGCTCTCAGCCAAATTGGGTAATTTCATGGGATCACACAGGAGACTGTGTACAATCGTAACTCGTTAAACGACTCAAAACCCTCAAAACTGTCAGAACTTCAGAACAGAAGATGGCAGGCCTCTGCAAATGAATGTGGTTTTGTCCTATTTGAAGCTGTTATGAGTAGATACAGCGCTATCAAAATGTCGGAATCCGGCCAATCATTGTCTCGTTTTTTTGTTGGCTGTATCAAACCCTTTGGGGTTGAAGATGGTTCAACCCCCACGGTTTCCGATCGCTGTTGGTTAATATAATTGGTTATAATATGTTATAATTGTATATAACAACAGCAACAATTTAGATAAAAACAACAATAGTGACTTAGTGATAGTGACAATAATCAGTTCGGAACAGTATGTTAGTAATTATATTGTATATTATGTGCATATATATATGTATAAATATGTATAAATATGTATAAATATGAAATATCACCATGTTTTGATCTTTGCCACCATGGAACCAGTTGGGTTAAACGGGCTTCGTGGGCTGCGCCCGTGCCGTGGCCTGACCAGCTCCAAGGCGCTGCCTGCACTTCGACCGGCGCCCAAAGCGTGGCTGGGCCATTGATGCCATGGCCTGGTGGTGGATCAGTGGATGATGTACCCTCTGGTTATGTCAAAATAGCTATTGAAAATCACCATTTATAGTGGATTTTCCCATGAAAAATGGTGATTTTCCATAGTTATGTGACAGTTTACCAGAGGGTAATGTTGATGGTTAATGGTGGATCATTGCATTTCTGGGTGCTTCTGGATGATTTCTGGATGCGACAAGCTGATGATTGTGGTAGATGATGTGCGATTTAACATGATTTGATATGTTTTAGCAGGATGAGGACACAAATTGCATTATGATACTATTATGATCACGATAAATCTGCATTTGATTTTGACAATGCGCGTCATCAGGGCATACCATCACAATCGCTGTAGGATTTCATTGAGCAATGGGTCAGCACAACCACAGCTCGGAAAGAAAGATGAAGACTTAACAACTGCAGAAAGGTGTTCTTTCTGAATCCAGAATCTCATCACTGGATACTTGAACCAAATCAGGACCCAGTACCACTCCATTGAATCCATATGAATCCATGTATTGCTTCACCAAAGATGCTTCCAAAGATCTCTTCTGTGAGCCCTGATCCTGAGCAGAACCCGAGGCCTATCTATCCAAATCCTGGTGGCTGGAAGCATCAAACATCATTGCCATCCCGAACACCAGGATTTGCCCCTTTGTCCAAAGAATCTTTAGCGGAGTGACAGGAAAAAATCTGAGAGATTTGGCTATGAAAACTATGAAAGGGCTGTGGATTGGGCATGGTTTTGGGACCATTTTGGGATGGTTTTCGGATGTTTTCATTGCGGGGCGTGTGTCTTGCACCTCAGGTTGGCTCGTTGCGCACGAGGTGATGACATGAACTTTTCAGGCCTTGGAGCTGTATCTTCCAAAGGAAGCTGCTTTCAAAGTGAAGCGCAGCACCAGTTTGGACAAGAGTCTCACCTTAGAAAAGTCCGCTTTCTCCGAATCGAATTCGTGGTGTACCAAAAGAATGCTCAGATTTGGAGAAACTTGGTATCATTTGCATGTGGCTCCGTCAAGTTTCCGGGGGTGATACTTTGAGTTCATAGCTCATCCATCTTGGGATGGTTGATGTCGATTTGTGTGGAGTTATATCATCTATATATATATAGGATATACCATATTATCATAGTTACTGTATATACTGTATATACTGTATATATATACACATATTCATCTATGTCATATACCATGGATTTGCTTCATATTGTCATATATGATCTATATTCATATTTCGCAAATTGATTTGTGAACTCACATCATGTGTCACAGCCAGGTGGTGGATGCCAGCTCCTTTGGCATCGACTTGGCACCAAGGTTGCAGGCCGAAGTGGAAAAGATGAGAACGCCTTGGCTGAAGATGTTTTGGGGATGGATCAAAACCTTAACTGGTGAAAAATAGTGGCGAATGGCGTTCAATCGAAAATATGTGTTTGGCTAACCAGTTACTATCATTCCCCACCTGCCAGGTGAGGGTCTCTAGACTCTAGATTCTATAATATTCTATATAGATTTTATCAGAGGTACATCCTGCCCTCCTTCTCCTTCTCCTTCTCCTCGTCCTCCTCAACCTCGAGCTCCAGACAGCAGTGGGCACTGCCGGACCTCAACGGTGAGCGCCAGATCGCACTGCGGGACCTCAACACATGTCGGAGAGAATGTCAGAATAGACGCCAGAATACGCCAGATAGAATGCCAGAATAGAATGTCAGATAGAATGCTAGAAGAATTCCAGAATGAATGCCAGAATAGATGCCAGAATGATGCCAAAAGGAATGCCAGATAGAATGCCAGAACAGAATGTCAGAATAGATGCCAGAACAGAATGCCAGAACATACGCACCAAAATATGGCGGAAAGAATGCCAGACAGAATGCCCAGAGAAAATGTCAGATGCCAGAAAGGATGCCAGATAGTAGGATGTCAGAATAGATTCCAGATAGAATGCCAGAATAGAATGTCAGAAGATTATACCATATATACTTCCAGATGATATGTCAGAAACTATGACAAAATAATCTGTCAGGGTGGGGATCACTCGAAGTAAAGTAATTTGGTTTTCAAAGCTGCGCAGTAGAACCATACAGCCAAAGGGGTCACTGAAGGGCAAACTTCAACTTGAAGGGTATACTCCGGGCACTTCGTGCAGTGGTCCACCAACTAAGAGATGGTGCTTCCATCAAAAGTAATTTCTTCTGGTGTGAATTGACACTGTCTTGTCAGCAGTTGTTTGGATAATCTTCGCAGATCCAAAAGACTTGAGAAAATTGTGAAGTCGTATGAAGTCGTTGCTTTTTGCTGGGCAGGTCCTCAAAGTCGAAGAACCTCCTGCACGCGCTGGTGGCGTCAAGGAGGGCCTGCTGGTGGCAACAGAAAGAGGTGTTTAACATGTTTTTGAGATTGGCTCGAAACGTGTTGACCCTGAAATTTAGAAAGTCGAGTAAAGTAATTTGAATCCTGAAAATGAACCGATCTGTGGGTTCGTTTGTACTCCAGTTTGGATCACCAGAGTACACAGAATACATGCATTGGTTGATCAGGTTTTCAGACACCATTTCTTGATTCTACAGGATCTGTTGATGATTTTGGTTAGTTCCATTATGTTGATTTGTTTGTCACCCTGTCCTTCATCGTTCTTGTTGTTATGTTGCGCTACACAACAGCTGTGGTATAGGTGAACAGCATCGATGAGTTGATCGATAAGCTGAAGAACGAGGCGAAGGTTTTGTAAGATGTTGATGTGTACATAGATTGGGCAGACGTCTCAAGTCCTTGGCGACCCACTTTTGAGGGTTGAACAATGTTGAACTATATTGAAAATACAATAAACTATATATTATCCCTCAGAAACTTGGAATATGTTTCTTTGGGTTTGGGTGTCCAAGATTAAGACAGCCGAATCCACCCGATAATTCTGTGGAATGCTGGCTCCTTCCACTACCCTTTGGACGACCAGCCACTGGTAGCTGATCGACATGGGCGGGGCTGTGACAGCATTTGGCATCGCAGCATGGAAAGAAAAGAATGCTGATACACTACAGCAGGTGAAGACATGGGCAAACTAGAAAACAGTTGGTTGTTCCGACGTGATTTCCATGTGATAATGATTTCCTATATAGTGCATACAGTAAATGAGCATTCAAGGTTTACATTTTACAGAGATAATCTGTCTTTCTATTGGCAAGTATGAAAAGGAGGAATTCGATCATTGCTTTGTTTTGGTGTTGCCATGGGTTAGCTGCTTCCTTGGGTTATTTTGTCAGTGTGCTGCAGCCTTCTGGCTCAGCTGTGATTTGGCTGGCTTGTTTCACAGCGGTGGTCTCCCAATGACGGACGTCAGACACTCAGGCAGACATGAAACCATTGAGAAAGCACTGGCAATGGTGGGCGGGAAGAAGTTTGAGCAGATTGCACCAGACTTGAATTGACGAATTGGGGGGGAAGAAACTGGTAGTGTTGCATTTCAAAGGTGTAAGGGGCCAGATGCATAGCCTATTGATGGACTGACTAAATCAGTGAAGCCAGCGGCTGGCCACCTCAACGAGGTTCAAAACGATATGGCCTGGAGACACCAGATGCTAACGGAAGTCCAGCCGCTGGACTTTGGGGTTATCCAGTCTCTGAAAGGCCAAGTGCCATGTCCTGCAGTATGAAGTTAGACCTTATGTCAATGTGATCCTATGTGAGATTGTGAGTAAGCGTGTGGGTCATAATATGTCATAATATCACAAGAATTTGACACGTAGAAACCAACATTCTGGGACCCAGAAACATGATGAAACATGTACAAACATTGGGTTTGGCCTGATGCTGTTGTTTCTGTGATCCGTTTCCTCTCTGTTTTCTGACCGCTGCTGACCTTTCGCCCCTAGCAGGACCGGCCCACCGTGTCCCCTTCGGAGTTGAAACTGGTGTGCAGAAGTAGGGGGCCTGGTTTGGTTATCAAGTCGTTTGCGGCCAGGACTTGTATTGCTTCTGTCCAACCATGTCCAACCCAGATTTGCTTCTGTGCATCCCAGATAATGAGTTTGTCCTTCTGGCCCCAAAATCGTGCAAAAATGTCCCGTTTCTGCAGGGAAATGTTGGAAAAAGACGATCCCATAATTACTTGTTGGACCTGAGAGATCCTGAGAGTGGATCCTCAGATATGGTCATGGCCATGACGATCTCACAGCTAAGATCCCTTGTCCTGGAATTACAACGTGGAAGTGGCTTCAAAGGCAAGGTGGTGAACATCAACCCATAGAGTGGGAGCTACAACATTAACAGTAACATCAGCTGGATTTCATCAATGATCGGTCCACAATTGACACTGTTTACAATTTAGAATAATTATAATTATATATAGTTATATTGCTATTATATAATTAAGAATACTGTATTACCGTATGATATTGTCCGTACCATGGATTTCATCAGCTGGTGCCTCTGCCTAAAATCTCAGTGATGTCCCTCTCCGTTGCGCAGTGCTCTTCAAGCTTGTCGTCATCTAGCAGTGCCACTCAGCTGCGAAGTGGAACAAACACTTCGGCCAGCTACACTGCTCGCACCCCAGGATACCAATATGATCAGCACCGACGTGTCATGAGTCCACCAAATCTTGTGACGGCCTGAAGGCGCTATCCAACGAGCCAATCCCTAGGCTAGCTCCAGAAGTAAAAGTTCGTTGCGAAGTAGCGCGTACTCTTCGCTTTCAAGGGCAAGGCCGCGGAACATGCCGCTGACATCTTCACTAGGTAGAAGCCACATATGTCAACTCCAACTTCAACTTGAAAGCAAAGAGGTTTCAATCAAATCAATACAGCTGAATCCAAAACAGTCGAGACACAACAACATGCTTGAAGCTGCAGTTGAACCAGACCCGAGGATGGTGCCCTTTGAAAGTAAATCTGAAAATCAACTATTGTTCAAGACCCTCTTTGCCGGAGTGCGTGCGCCTGGCAGGTCGAGTGTTCTGTCCACGGTGCTGCTGGCAAAATTGTCCATTTTTTTAGTTGCAATGGAAAATCCGATTTAAATGGAGGTTTGAATGGGAAAGTCATCTATAAATGAGAGATGTTCCATTGCCATGTTTGATTACCGGAGGGTAATCCCATGATGTGATGTCGGGTATCTTGAAATGTCTCGAATGGACAAGACTTCTATCCAATGCAATTTGCCCGAATTAAACAAAATTTGCTTTGGGATGCTTTGGGAACAAACTGCTGGGAGGGTTTGGGTTTGCCACTATTAGGATGGTTTGTGAAGGACCTTCCGCTGCTCTTTGTGCAGGAATTGGAGCATGAAAGGCAGATCCGGGAAGCCATGGAGCGTGAGGACTGCTTCATTTGGGAGTATGCCGGTTTGCATTGCCAATCCAAGATTGGCAACCAGCAAGAGTTTCTTTTTGGAAGGTCTTAGAGTCTTAGTCTTAGCATAATCTTATGTTTGCATTTCAGAACGAGCATTTGGGAACTCTAAAATGTCAAGGGGTGTGGATTTATTGGCTCAACAGAGGAAGCATCAGGACATCACATGATATCACGACCAAACCATTCACCAAGATTTCACCAGTGAGAACTGGCAGGTTGAGGAGCTTAAGGCGCAGTTGGCCAAGGTGGATCCTTCCATGATGCCACCAGCAACTTGGCAGAGGCAATGCTAGGCGTTTGCCAGCGTTTCATGGAAGGTCCCTGTAACATGGAGATGGAATGGAGATGCGAAGACATGCAGGGATAGAAGTAGAATGATGTTCCTTGGTTTTTGGCAAGGAGTCCTTGTCAGTTTCGCTTGGCAAAAAGTCTCCTCTTCAGTGTATCAACTTCCAGCAACTTCCATCAACTTCTCCCTTCCGTGGGGCCATCAGCCATCGGCCAAGGCAGGCCTCCGAAAGGCTTCAGCACGGAAGGGGTCCAGAGACGGAGGAGCCTGGCGCCCGCGGCCATGTTGGGCCCAGGAATCTTCCCGAAGCGCACGGAGCGGCAGATCAGAGCTCAGCACGGCGGTTGGCGCATGACGCGAAGCGATTTGTGTGAGTTACTCTATGTGCAAGTATGTGTCATGTGCAGTGAAATGCCCCATGTGCTGAGCGTTTCACTTCATGCAAGACGCGTCAGAGCTGTTGAAGGAAAAAGTGAGCGGGCCTTTATCATGCTCTTGAGAGGACCTGCCGTGCTAGCAGTATGGACTGAGCCTGACTACAAACACGGCTCAAGAAATTGAAAGCTCCATCGATCAATGAACTTTGCAGGCTGGATAAGACTTTTTGGTTTCACATGTTCCCGTCCTCAGTGTTCGACCATCAATCATGAGGTCAGTTCAGATGAGTGTCGTTTATTGGTGAGGCCTTTGCTTGGTCCATTTGCGCCGTTAGGCTCAGAATTGCACGTCCATTTCAATGTAGTTCAATGATCTGAGCATTCACTTCAAACTGATGCTTGAAAATTGTAGATTGCCACCAATTGCCTTACTTTGCAATCAGACTTATAAATTCTTCTGTGTCATGATTACGACAATTCAAAAGAGCTTGCATCGCAATTTGACCTTTGTGCAAAAGATCGAATCTTTCTTTCACAGGAACAATTCATAGAGCAGAGCTGCAGCTACGAACTGCACTTGGCTTCTTAGCACGGACACTTTGACAGCATCCAAACGCCAATCTGATTTGCCGTATTCAAGGAAGATTCCTTGCACAAGTTCTCAAACGTATTAACATGTGCTCAAATCATCCTGTTTCATGAGTTTTGGAGACCACATAAAAAGCAACTGCATCGCATGCACAGCCAGGGCACTTGCTCGTCAATTGCATCTTGGAGCAAAAAACATTGGAAAGAAGAAATCGCTTTTGCCCCAAGCTGGTGTGATTCTATTTTGAAAGAAAATCTCACTGTGAGATTTATTGGCATTGACTGTGGTACTCCCTCCCTGATGTCAACTTGTCAACTTGTCGTTGCATGTGAAATTCACTTCAAGCTCTCGTTCGAAGCAAACAAACGTCACATCAGGCAACTCGTTTGAGAGCTGACCATCTCACACAGACACCATGGGGAGACCGTCGTTTTGGCTGTGGTTTGGTCATTTCTACTTGAGCGACGCTCATCTTGGACATCCTGCGGATCTGGCCTGCACATTCGAGGTGGATCTCTGTGGCTGGTCCTCAACGTCCTCCGCAACGGATGTTTGGCTTCGACAAAATGGCGCATCATCAAAAGGGCCTGACAGCGCTAACCAAGGGGAGTACTACCTGTATGCAGTGCCTTCACTTGATGGCGAGGCCTGGTGGATTTGAATGAAGCCTCCTTTGTCTGTCTAATCAGATGGTCTTGGAATTTGGGATAGTAGTGTTTTCATCTCTCAAAGATATTTCCACTGACCCAGTTCGCTTTGGGGTCATTCTGTAGAAGAGGACACATTTGCCCGTTACTCATAGGGAACGGTCAGTTAATCAGTGCAAACCTGCAGAAATCCATGGAAATAATCTCAGCACCTGCTATGACAAATACAATGGGGCTTGCATTTTGTAGAAAAAGTTGAAGGTGGTCAAAGCATTAGATGTGATGCCAAGGTCTAAATTGAGGCAGTCATTTTCTAGAAGATTCAGATTTAACAAGATTTAGAGTACGCCGTGAAATTTTGCTTAATCTATTCAGAGTTTCCTGAATGGTTATGCGTTTTCTAGAGAAAACAGTTGTGTTGCTGCACGCTCTTTTCAGCGCAAGGCTGCTTTATAGGAAAGCAAACTGGAAAAAGTAGAAGCCCGATCAAAAGGAATGTGCTTGGCACTGGCTTGTCATTTTCAAGGCCCCAGACTTGTCACACGTTTTTCTTCTA